AACGGTTCTTCGTACATTTTTACATATTTTTAGCAAAAAAAATTGTAGGGATCCCTATAAACAGGGACAATTTTTATATTTAGTTAGAATGTTGTCTGAATTAATATTATTGATTTAGTATGACCGGGTAGTTGTAGGGGTCATTTATAGTCAAAATGAACGTAGGTAATTGTTTCGTTAAAGACCTCCACCAGCCATATGATAACGAAGATGGAAATCCATAGGCTTGATGTATAAATTTGTAGTATGCTGGGAAAAGGTTCATCCAAACAGAATGAACTTTGTCACGACGAACCATATTAAAGGCATTAGTAAAATCCAATTTCAGTAAAACCTTGCAAGAGTCAGAATTAACGTCAATGAACAACAGCCTCTGCACCTCCCTTAGTTCCAAAACCCAATTGGTAAGGTCTGCAAAACTCTCCAGGTCTCTGATGTACACGGAAACAGATGATTTTCGCAAGTCATTCCGACGGCAATAGGCCTTACTCCTCAATTCTTTTTATTCAGAGCTATCAGTGAATCTCCGAAGAAAATATCACGGAAGAATTCAGGTATTTCCCTCTGTACGATCAAATTCACAAGTCGTGTTTATTCGATTTATAAACACATTGGGGGTGGATTTCTATGTGGCGCAAGGGGTTGCAAGAAATTATTTTTGCATTTGTTTATTGGATATGTACCTATAGCAGTATTTTTCTGCACAAACTAGAAAGTGATAACCACCCGCGTTTTGCCATATTCGATTTATAAACACATTGGGGGTGGATTTCTATGTAGCGCAAGGGGTTGCAAGAAATTATTTTTGCATTTGTTTATTGGATATGTATAGCAGTATTTTTCTGCACAAACTAGAAAGTGATAACTACCCGAGTTTTGCCTATTCGATTTATAAACACATTGGGGGTGGATTTCTATGTGACGCAAGGGGTTGCAAGAAATTATTTTTGCATTTGTTTATTGGATATGTATAGCAGTATTTTTCTGCATAAACTAGAAAGTGATAACCACCCGCGTTTTGCCGTATTCGATTTATAAACACATTGGGGGTGGATTTCTATGTGACGCAAGGGGTTGCAAGAAATTATTTTTGCATTTGTTTATTGGATATGTATAGCAGTATTTTTCTGCACAAACTAGAAAGTGATAACTACCCGCGTTTTGCCGTATTCGATTTATAAACACATTTGGGGTGGATTTCTATGTGACGCTAGGGGTTGCAAGAAATTATTTCTGCATTTGTTTATTGGATATGTATAGCAGTATTTTTTTGCACAATCTAGAAAGTGATAACTACCCGCGTTTTGCCGTATTCGATTTACAAACACATTGGAAGTGGATTTCTATGTGACGCAAGGGGTTGCAAGAAAGGATATGTATAGCAGTATTTTTCTGCACAAACTAGAAAGTGATAACTACCCGCGTTTTGCCGTATTCGATTTATAAACTCATTGGGGGTGGATTTCTATGTGACGCAAGGGGTTACAAGAAATTATTTCTGCATTTGTTTATTGGATCTGTATAGCAGTATTTTTTTGCACAAACTAGAAAATGATAACTACCCGCGTTTTGCCGTATTCGATTTATAAACACATCGGGGGTGGATTTTTATGTGACGCTAGGGGTTGCAAGAAATTATTTCTGCATTTGTTTATTGGATATGTATAGCAGTATTTTACTGCACAATCTAGAAAGTGATAATCTACCCGTGTTTTGCCGTATTCGATTTATAAACACATTTGGGGTGGATTTCTATGTGACGCTAGGGGTTGCAAGAAATTATTTCTGCATTTGTTTATTGGAAATGTATAGCAGTATTTTTCTGCACAAACTAGAAAGTGATAACAACCCGCGTTTTGCCGTATTCGATTTATAAACACATTTGGGGTGGATTTCTATGTGACGCTAGGGGTTGCAAGAAATTATTTCTGCATTTGTTTATTGGATATGTATAGCAGTATTTTTTTGCACAATCTAGAAAGTGATAACTACCCGCGTTTTGCCGTATTCGATTTACAAACACATTGGAAGTGGATTTCTATGTGACGCAAGGGGTTGCAAGAAAGGATATGTATAGCAGTATTTTTCTGCACAAACTAGAAAGTGATAACTACCCGCGTTTTGCCGTATTCGATTTATAAACTCATTGGGGGTGGATTTCTATGTGACGCAAGGGGTTGCAAGAAATTATTTTTGCATTTGTTTATTGGATATGTATAGCAGTATTTTCTGCACAAACTAGAAAGTGATAACTACCCGCGTTTTGCTGTATTCGATTTATAAACATTTTGGGGGTGGATTTCTATGTGACGCAAGGGGTTGCAAGAAATTATTTTTGCATCTGTTTATTGGATATGTATAGCAGTATTTTTCTGCACAAACTAGAAAGTGATAACTACCCGCGTTTTGCCGTATTCGATTTATAAACACATTGGGGGTGGATTTCTATGTGACGCAAGGGGTTGCAAGAAATTATTTTTGCATTTGTTTATTGGATATGTATAGCAGTATTTTTCTGCACAAACTAGAAAGTGATAACTACCCGCGTTTTGCCGTATTCGATTTATAAACACATTGGGGGTGGATTTCTATGTGACGCAAGGGGTTGCAAGAAATTATTTTTGCATTTGTTTATTGGATATGTATAGCAGTATTTTTCTGCACAAACTAGAAAGTGATAACTACCCGCGTTTTGCCGTATTCGATTTATAAACACATTGGGGGTGGATTTCTATGTGACGCAAGGGGTTGCAAGAAATTATTTTTGCATTTGTTTATTGGATATGTATAGCAGTATTTTTCTGCACAAACTAGAAAGTGATAACTACCCGCGTTTTGCCGTATTCGATTTATAAACACATTGGGGGTGGATTTCTATGTGACGCAAGGGGTTGCAAGAAATTATTTTTGTATTTGTTTATTGGATATGTATAGCAGTATTTTTCTGCACAAACTAGAAAGTGATAACTACCCTCGTTTTACCGTATTCGATTTATAAACACATTGATGATGGATTTCTATGTGACCCAAGGGGCTGCAAGAAATTATTTTTGCATCTGTTTATTGGATATGTATAGCAGTATTTTCTGCACAAACTACAAAGTGACAACTACCCGCGTTTTGCCGTTTTCGATTTATAAACACATTGGGGGTGGATTTCTATGTGACGCAAGGGATTGCAAGAAATTATTTTTGCATCTGTTTATTGGATATGTATAGCAGTATTTTTCTGCACAAACTAGAAAGTGATAACTACCCGCGTTTTGCCGTATTCGATTTATAAACACATTGGGGGTGGATTTCTATGTGACGCAAGGGGTTGCAAGAAATTATTTTTGCATTTGTTTATTGGATATGTATAGCAGTATTTTTCTGCACAAACTAGAAAGTGATAACTACCCGCGTTTTGCCGTATTCGATTATAAACACATTGGGGGTGGATTTCTATGTGACGCAAGGGGTTGCAAGAAATTATTTTTGCATTTGTTTATTGGATATGTATAGCAGTATTTTTCTGCACAAACTAGAAAGTGATAACTACCCGCGTTTTGCCGTATTCGATTTATAAACACATTAGGGGTGGATTTCTATGTGACGCAAGGGGTTGCAAGAAATTATTTTTGCATTTGTTTATTGGATATGTATAGAAGTATTTTTCTGCACAAACTAGAAAGCGATAACTACCCGAGTTTTTCCTTATTCGATTTATAAACACATTGGGGATGGATGTCTACGGTTAACGAGAGGACGTTTACGCGGTCGCAGGGGCGTTGTTGCGTCTGTAAGGAAAAAGTCCACTCTCGCGGCACTGACTCCTCACGCCGGGTTTGCCGCATCCGAAGCACGCTAGGAGGGTAGTGGTCGTACGCGAATTGCAGGTGTCGCGGTAGTTAATGGCTTTAGAGCTTCAGTTTCCTAGGCTTTCTTCTTCTTTCGGCATTCCTTCCGCGAGTGTCCGGTATTTCGGCAGTAAGTGCACCTGGGTTTGCTGGCGGTGGCTTCGGTAGGGTGCAGGTTTTCGAACTTCCGAAGTGCATCTTGGAGCTCGGTAAAGGTTTCGAAAGAAGTGAGCGGAATTTTTTTTCCTATATTCGTGCAATGGCGTGCTTCCGCTGACCTCTTCCACGACATAGGCCAATTTTGATTTTGTTTAGTTAAAGTAAATTGAATTATTGTTTCTCATTGAGTATTAATTACGGTTTTAGTATACGATTTATACTAGTGTCAGACGTTAAACATTGCAACCGCGTTATTCACTATCCCTTTTTTGTTTGTATGTTTTTACCTGTTACAGATAAGGCAGACAAGCGCCCTTCTGAGCTCAAAAGGACGTTACAACCATAGTCTAAAGGTAATTTTTATTTTCGACCTACTCCTGTATATAACGTTAGGTTACATATTGGTTTTCGATGCAATCGAATTGTAATTATTACATTTGTTTGATAGTCATTTAACCATTACGGCTCCCTTGTTTTCTGTGGAAGCCTGTTTTGATTTGTATCATTTTCCTGACTACGAGTTGATTCCCTTTTTGGTAAAAATCGATTTAAATTTAAACATTAACATTGCTGATCCAGATATTACAGTATCGGTGCCATTTCGGGTTCCCTTGCACCTCTATACTGATACTGGTTCCTCTGCCTAATCTCCCACTAGCTCTTTGCAGCCCTCCCTAGCGATCCCCTGAACATTCTCGAACCTTCCAGAAGTTTCTGTAATCGTCCTTAACCTTTACAATTCTGCTTGATCTTCGAAAGTATTTCTCAATCTTCCCGTATCTTCCAAAATCTACCTCCAGTTTTGTGTCTCAATATTACTATAAGCCTTTGTACCTCCTCAACTCTGAATTTTAGATATCTAACATTATAACGCACCAATAATTTCTTCTGATTTTCCCACGCGTTTGTAGTCATGTTATACCATGTGCAAAAAACACCCATAAATTTGCTTAAATAACCAGATCCGACAGCAACTGAAGGATGTTTACGCAGTTTAGAAGGTACAAGGGTCCAGCAATTTTAAATCTCACAGACCATTGTGAATGCCAGATCTCAGGCCAACACTTTATTCTACGTATCCCTCAAATGAAGCTGTTTCTGGTACTTTTGGCATTCGCCCATGTCAGCAAAGGGCAAAAACTGCGTAAGTAGAATTCGCCTCTTCACTTTCAGGCACTAATCGCCCTTCAGCTGACGACTTTAAGGTGTGCGACCACTTCGCGTCCGATATCAACGAGTGCTTGGGTGTGGCCTTCGCGAGCGCCCTAAAACAGCTGAAAAATGGTAATGGAGAATATGCCCTTGGAGTAACACATGTGACCCAAATTTGTTTTAGGGATTCCGGCAATTAACGCCAGTCCAATTGATCCCTACCGTTTATCGAATATGACGATAGTTAGAAAAGATCACGCGATCGGCTTTTACGACATCGACCTCTACAACTTCACCACTGGAAAGCTGGATTACATTGAGTGAGAGGCAGTGAGTAAGATGCCAGCACCCTTATTCTTTGGTTTTCAGTACGAAAATTACGCGCGACAGTTTCTTTGCAAAGATGAATATCAGCATGCCTGTAATAACCGCCTTGGCTGATTACACGTTGAAGGGCAAGTTATTTTTGTTTAACATTGAGGCTAAAGGAAAGGGAGTCCTAACTATGAGTAAGTACTACCCTCCATCGTTCAAACTGAGCACGCTCGTCCTTAGAGAACACCGAATTTACTATTCTAATGAGCGGACCTGTGATCAAAGATGCAGCTGGTGCGGAACGTTTCAAGCTGACCACGTTTGAGTCGAAGATCCATCCGAAATCGGTGACGTTCAATTTTGGAGATCTCGTGCCGGGGCAAAAGATGGTCACTGATCAGGTGAACGCGGTCCTGACGGAGAATTGGGAAATTTTATACAAGGAGGTCGAGTCGGAGTTGGAGAAGGTGTCGAGCGAACACCTATTGGACTACTCCAACAATATTTTGCAATATGTTCCTGTTTAAATTTGTTTCGATATTAATTTTTGACCAATTTCTTGAAAATACCCTCGAAACATTAAAGAACTTGAATTTCTTTACCGAAAATCCCTCGTTAATCCTCTCTAGAATGTTTAGATGTGTTTCATGCTGATCAATCCTTCCAACATTTGGGTTTCAAGAAGCATCAAGGGCCAATGAAGAAAATCCTGATTAAAAAACCGCCACAAAATTCAATGAAAATAGAAAAAATAGAAACTCCTTTCAATTGACCCGTAGCCCAGGAAAGTTCCAACGACACCAACGTTCAGGGGCTTAAAGGTTGATGACTTTAAAGGTTAAGATCTCAAAAGTGTTCAACAGCGTAAAGTCCTAAGGACTTAAAGGTTTAATTCACAACCGCAACCTGGAATCTAGAGCACAAGCTTAAAACTCAGAATTCAGTATCAACAGAAAATATTCATTGAACCTCAGGATTGAAACACCTGAAATTTCAAATGCCCCAAAAGCGATAGCGGAACTTCTTATCGCAACGACCGGAGATAACATTTCCAGGAGGACAATAAATTTTAGAACGTTTTTAAAACCTTGTCCATTGTAAACTTCTGCTAGGTTTTTAAAAACTCTTAAACAGCCTCATTGACTACTAAATATTTCTAGAGCGATTTAGGATTTAATGGTATTTTAAGGATACTTAAATTCCGTTCTTTAAAATCATCTAAGGTTTGATACAGGCTTTCAAGATGTATTAAGGGCTCTTAAAGGCTCGGTTGGTTCAAAGCCTGTAAAGCATCAAGAAAGCTTCTGGTTTCCTTTGGAGGCCTCTTCTTCACTACCCATAACTGCTCCTCAAGGTTCGACTTTTAAATACTCTTAGAAGCACTTAAAGGCCCTTAAAACCTGAAAGACTAAGGCTAAACTCAGGACCTTAGTTTAGGACATTCGCAAAAATGTAGAACTGGGGAGTGTCAGTGGTACTCTCACTCGAAAATACGTTATGGAAAATGCAGGATCGAGGGATCGAGGGGGTATGGAATACCTCCCCCCCCCCCGTACAAAGAAAGGTTCAATATTCATTTTCCCACACCTATCATAAAATCGTGCAAGTACACCGGCACTAAGTCTTGCATTTCTAAGGGGCATTCACAACCCCCCTACTTTCGGGTGTTATTTCAGGTGATACATTCGAATTTTTTTGATCGAAACGCAACACCGGGGGTCCGGAATAACTCCCTAGGAAAAAAAAAGATTCAATGCTCATTTCCCCACACGTCATAAAATTTTGCAAGCGCTGGGGGGTATTCCATACCCCCAGACTCCAAGGTGTTGCATGTCCCATTAAAATAATCCACCCTAAAAGCACATCTTATAGTTTTTCAAAAAGTACCACCAGATCTTGCTTTTTAAGGAGCATTCCTAATCCCCCTAGTTTCGGGTGTTATCTCTGGTGTAATATTCGAAAGTACCGTATCGAAAATGTAGAACCGGGGGGCCTGGGGGGGATACCCCCCAGGAAAGAATAAGATTCAATATTCGTTTTCTCACACCTATCATAAAATCTTGCAGGCCTTGGGGAGTAATTCGTATCCCCCAGATCCCTCGCTGTTACGTTCTGAGAGAATGACTCAATGTTCCCTACTCCTATCATAAAATCGCCCCAGACCCCCTGGTGGTACATTCTCCGTAAAAATAATCCACCCCAGAAACTATTCTTATAGTTTTTCAGAAGAGGCCACTAAATCTTGCCTTTCTAAAGAAGAACAGGGAGGTCTGGAGCACCCCACCCCCCTCACAGGTAATATCTCTCAGGAGACGAAAAAGTTCAATGTTCATTCTCCTAGACTTACCATAAAATCTCGCAAGGGTAGGGCTATGGACATGGAATATCCCCCCCCGGACAGAAAAAGATACAATGCTTGCAAGCGCTGGAAGGTATCCCACACCCCCCGCTGTTACATTCTCCATAAAAATGATCTACCCTAAAAGCTCTTCTTACAGTTTTTCAAAAAGGACCACTAGTTCTTGCTTTTTTAAGGAGCATTTCCAACCCCCCTAGCTCCAGGTGTTATATTCGAAGGTGCATTATCGAAAATGTAGGACCGGGGAGTCTGGAGAGTATGGAATGTCCCCCAGGAGAGACAAAGGTTCAATGTTCATTCCCCACACGTATCACAAACTATTGCAAGAATAGGGGGGAGGGCGTATTCCATACGCATACCACCCAGATCCCCAGATGTTACATTCTCAATGAAAATGGCCCACCTTAAAAACTCCTCTCATAGTTTTTCAAAAAGGGCCTCTAGATCTCGCTTTTCTAAGGAGCATTTACAACCCCCCTAGTTTCGGGTGTTGTCTCGGATATTCGAAACTATCTTATCGAAAATGTAGAACCGAGGGGTAGGCATAAGAAGGGGAGTTTACTTTTGAGTTTTGGACTTAGGGTCTTGAGCTTTGAATTTTGGGTTTTGAAACTTGAACTTTGAGCCGTGAATTTTGAGTGTCCGCGAAACTAAAGGCGCGTTGACCATCACAAGGTAAGCACGAAATTGTCTTTGGAGATCTTCGCAACCTCGAACCCTAGAACAGACTCCAAATTTCTGAATGAAGTATCTCAGACTTTGGAACGTTGGAATAGCGTGTTCGCTAAGGTGGATCGGTAGTGATCATTTTTAGGATGAGAAAAACCTTGAATGTTGATCACAGCTCAAGGTCGCCTTCATTATAAAGCCGACAATCGACGTGTTTTTCTATGCAATCAGACTAAAGCATGTAAACACCTTAAATTTTGCAAGTTAATCAGTCTCGCTGATGAGCCACTCCGGTGTCAACAGAACTTCCAAGGTATCGAGATATGAGGAACGTGACAGTATTTTCCGTTTTGTTTTTGGGATGCATCGCCCAGCAACTTCGTAAGTCCTCAACCCTTAGTGTACTTTAATTAAGTGCAGCTTCCTACAGCTGCAAGTTTCAAAGTGTGCGATCACTTCGCTCCGGACGTTAACGCGTGCCTAAAGGACGCGATACTCAGCGCACTTGGCCAACTGAAAGATGGTAAGCGACGTCTTCCAGGGTTACCTTGTGAGAGTTCCCATTTCAGGTTTGCCCGAAATCGGTGCGGTCGCACTCGAGCCCTTGCACATCGCGAACATCACGGTCCACAAGTTCGGAAACGAGTTCTCGTTCATCAACGTCATGATCGATCACCTCTCGACGGTTGCGGTCACCGATCTTCAGTAAGAAACGCCGCCAGGACCTCGGGACCGTTCCACTAAAACGATCTTTCAGCTCCGACTTGACCCGCGAGAAATTTTGGCTAGAATTCAACATGACCGCGGATGATATCATCGCGGAGATGGATTACAGCATCAAAGGGAAGCTGTTGATGTTTTCCGTCGACGGTGGCGGAAGAGGAGAGCTTCACATGAGTAAGTTTTTTTTGATCGAGTGGATACAAAAACCTTGAGCAAGCGAGATTAATTATTTCCCAAATTTTCAAAACACAAGGTTATTCGCCGTCCGGGTTACCTTGATACATGTGAAGTTTTGAGCAAAACATCTTAATTTAAGAGTAGGTACTAATTAGCATTTTTATTTAGCATACTGGATTCAATTAAATAGTAAGGCAAATTCTTTTTTTGATATCTTATGGAAATTAGAGCACTCCAGATTTTAGATATCAAAGATAGTAGATACCCACGCTCGGCAGACAGAATTTTTTAGTAACAAACGAAGAATAAACACATTTTTGCATTAAGTAAAAATGTACGACTAAAAAACGAAAACTGTCTTTTCTGTAAAAAAAAATCAGTAAAATCAGTGTTCAATAAATTTTGCGCTACCTGCACAAAGTGACCAAAGTTCCTGCTCAGTAATAACATTAAAACACCCCCAACGATTCGTTGTCTTCAACATTTTCCCCGGAATCTACAATTTCAAGGCGATTTGAAAGCAGTAGCCGTCTATCAACCCATGATCCAGTCGACATCTAACAATTATAATCGGTTTAAGTTTAATTGAACTAAAAACATTCGAAATTCAGGGATAATTTTGGTACCAGAAAAAAATAACTTGCCAGAAGGCGTTTTATTCATTCTATGGGTAAGAAAAATGTCGTAAAACTACTTTGGCTACCAACAGAGCATAATATAGAAAGATACCGTATCTATCAGCAAGAGAAACGTTAGAGAAAGACGTTTGCAAAGCTTGCTTCGGCATATTACCCCGCACGCAGGCTGTTCATTTAGAACAGATTTAAAGCGACCACCAAAACTAAGCACTTTAGTAGCCATAGAAACCGTAAGACCTTCAGATGCCTCAAAAACGCTCTAGAAGTCATATTGGCGCTGGAAAAATCAGATAACGTTGATACGAAAGAGATTTCAAAGACTTTAGATATCTATCAAATCATAGAGACTTAAAATTGCAAATTTCCAAAGTTCAAAATCTTCATAACTTCAAAACTCAAAAAACTGGTGGTCCAGCTAACCCTACGTTCAGTTCTAGTAAATTGTCTTTGCAGAAAACATGGTTATCCAAGCCACGCTGATAGGTGGCGTCACAAGCGACGGCAAATACTATAACCTCGACGATCTCAACCTGAAGCTTTACCCGAAAATGGTCAAATACCGTTTGGAGAACATCGTACCAGGGCAGAAGGAGATAAGCGATCAAATCAACGATGTGCTCAACGACACCTGGGACCTGTTGTGGGATGCCTTCAAAGTGGATTTGGAAGAGATCCTTGACAAGTTTTTCTTGGAGTATGCCAACAATATATTGAAATATGTCCCAATTTCACCCTAGTCTTTTAAGCGCAGTGAAATGTGAAGTAAAATATTAGATTTAGTCATTAAGTTCTTTCTAGTTGACCACATTATGTGCCATTATTAAATTAAAATGTTAAAAACCCAAATGATATTTCTTTTTGTGACATTTAAGATCCTTGAAAACCTTCCACATCATTCCCACTGTACAGATTCATCAGAATCCTCTCAAATCTTCAGCTCCAAAAAATCCATCATCCCTTCGAAACGCTCAGCTTCCCAATAGTCTTCGTAGGATTTAGGTTCCTCCACTAATTTGGAACTTCCGAATATCCTCTGCCCTTAGAGCCCTTCAGATCTTTCCAGCACATCGCATACTTTGCATTCTTAGTGTCCTTTAAAGACTTCCAATCGGTCAGATTCTTCGAATCTTGTAGATGATTAGGATTCTTCCCGTCCAGCAGCACCATCGTATCTTTTACATCAGTTTCTCTGGTTCTTTCAGCATTTCGACTCCTCAGGGCCTTTAGAGATCTTCACTTTCTTCCTTTACGTCTGTCTTCGGACCTTTGGGATATGCTAATTATTCCGTTTTTGAGGTTATTTACGGAAACGTAGATATCGCACCTCAATATCATCGCCACCTTGATAAATCTTTGAACGGCGCCCAACCTTTAGACTTTGACAATGGGACCCTTGTGGTGGTTTCTTGAAGATGGCAATAAAAATTCATCTGCTGAGGGGTAGGAATACCCCCAGTTCTCCCGGTGCAATATTTCTTAGACCAAGAGAATCTGGTAATCATTCTTGCTCAAAAACTTTCATGAGAGTGCTGAAGAATAAACTTTTGATGTAAGGAAATGTTACCGGAGGATCTGGGAGTTACGGAATACCCCTCAGCAAATGAAAGACTTAATGCGTGGAGAGGATTTTAAATCGACCTACAAAAAAGACTCCACAACCCTTTTTTCCTGTAAGCATGTGTACCCTTGTGGTGGTTTCTTAAACATGGCAATAAAAATTCATCTGCTGAGGGGTAGGAATACCCTCCAGTCCTCCCGGTGCTTCGTTCTTTCCAATACTTCTTAGACCAAGAGGATCTGGTAATCCTTCTTGGTCCAAAACTTTCTTGATAGTGCTGAAGAATAAACTTTTGGTGTAAGGAAATGTTACCGGAGGGCGTGGGAAGTACGGGATACCTCTCAGCGAAAGAAAGACTTAAAAAGCGTGGAGAGGATTTTAAGTCGCCCAACAAAAAAGCTTCAACAACTATAAGCATGGGACATTTGTGGTAGTTTCTTGTAGATGGCAATAAAAATTCATCTGCTGAAGGGTAGGAATACCCCCCAGTCCTCCCGGTGCTTCGTTCTTTGCAACACTTCTTAGACCAAGAGGATCTGGTAATCCTTCTTGCTCAAAATCTTTTATGAAAGTGCTGAAGAATAAACTTTTGGTGTAAGGAAATGTTACCGGAGGGCCTGGGAGGTACGGAATACCCCTCAGCAAAAGAAAGACTTAAAACGTGAAGAGGGTTTTAAGTCACCCAGCAAAAAAGACTACAAAACCCTTTTTTTCTATAAGCATAGGTACCCTTGTGGTGGTTTCTTGAAGATGGGGTTAAAAATTCATCTGCTAAGGGGTAGTCAACCCGGTGCTTCGTTCTCTGCAGTACCACTAGGCCAAGAGATCCTGATTGCTCAAAACCTATAATGAGAGTGCTGACGGTTAACCTGTTTGTATAAGAAATTGTTATCGGTTGTTCTAGGGAGTATGGAGCACCCCCCAGCAGATGAGCTTTTATTGCCATCTCTAAAAAACACAATGAAAGTATCGACATTTATAGGAAAAAGGTTATGGAGTCTTCCTTTCGTGCTATCCTTTAATTCCCTCTGGTTGTTCTGATCGTTCTGATTCTCGAGATCCCTTTCGAATTCCCTATCTTGCCGGTTCTTGCCTTACATATTTCAGATATTCATTAAACACTTTCTAGAATATTGAGTTACTTCACAACACCCGGATCGATCAGACCCCTCAGGCCGTGCAGATCTTTCATATTCTGGATATCCCTCATCGTTCTGATTCTCGAGATCCCTTTCGAATTCCCTATCTTGCCGGTTCTTGCCTTACATATTTCAGATATTCATTAAACACTTTCTAGAATATTGAGTTACTTCACAACACCCGGATCGATCAGACCCCTCAGGCCGTGCAGATCTTTCATATTCTGGATATCCCTCAGACTCTTCAGATCTTTAAGCTTCTCGACATTTTTGAAATCTTCGAGATCCTAAGATCATTTACCCTTCTAATTCTTCACATCTTTAAAAATTGATGCGATCTGTCAACTCCCTCAGAGATAGATCATAATGTGGTTCACCTATCTCGAATTGGATTCCTTTAACCCTGATGGTCGTTTTTAACCTTGTTCATCTTTCAAATGGCACAGGTCTTCGGAACGTACGAGAGAATAGAAAAAAAATTGCCGGTGAGGGATACGAAGGACATTCACTGCGTGTAAATTGCTGTTTATCATATACTCGTAATTAACAAAAACTTAATTTCGAATTAATGACGGAATTGAACCAATTTTTTACGACCGAACAAGACCTCCAATTATGTAAATTTTAAGAACAAAAACTTGTTGTTCACGTTCGAAGTATTCCTACAAGAGTAAGTAAATCAGAATCGAGAGAGCAGCGATGAAGGTGATAGCGATTATTGTTGCACTTTCCGCCGTGGCGCTATCAAAAAAGTTGCGTAAGTAACGATCGGTAAAGGGTTAGTGGTGAAACAGTTACAATTTCAGCGGATAACTTCCAAATATGTACTCACTCGGATCCCAAAATTAACGAGTGCCTGAAGAGCGCAATACAAAGTGCCCTAGTCCAATTGCGCGGTGGTTGGTAAGTAAACGCACGCAACCCTCACTGGAATGCTCTTTGTAGGAATAGCCGAAATCGACGCGGTTCCCATTGACCCGATGTTCATACCGAATATCTCGGTTAATAGAAGTCAACTTGCGATTGGTATGGCCAACCTGCGCATCTTTAACATGACCAATTCCGTCATTGAGTCAGTCAAGTAAGGGCGAGGTGTGTAAACCGGGGTATAAAATCACCCCTGTCACCTTGCAGGGCTTCCATAACCAATAAAAGATTTCGTGCTTTGCTGGTCATAAAGTCGGCAGAAGTAAAAGTGACAATGGATTTTTCACTCGTGGGGAAGCTGCTGTTCCTCAATCTTAACAGTGGCGGAAAGGGAGAGATGCTGATGAGTAAGTTGAGCTGTATCCAATACCAACATTGAATTGGGCATGCCCTTTATCACTTGTAGGGTCTTTTTCTAGCAAATTGTTTCAGAAAACGCGGTAATAGGAATAAGCTTGAACGGTGGACTGACGAATGACCGCCAACATTACATGCTCAACACTTTCGCATTCAAACTTAATCCAGAATCGATGACGTTCTACTTGGATGGATTATTCGGTGGGCAGAAGGCAATCAACGACGAGGTCCTGAAAGTGCTCAATGAAAATTGGAACGTCCTCTTCAAGGAAATTCAATTGGATTTGGAAGATACGCTGTCAAACATTTTTATGGATTACTCAAACAACATCTTTAAATATGTACCAGTATGATACGTACTTGAATAAACCATTCTCGGTTTTTTATGAATTCATTGGGAAAAGCTAAAGATGATGTTTTTAGGTTAGGGTGTTTTACATAATGCATGTGTACATTATTTATAGATGAGCAGAATTTTATCCATGCATCATTTACATTCTGGTGTCCATGCTAATCGGTGGTAGATACGGAAAAGGCGGTCGACACAACAAAGGCTCACCATGGAATATGCGAGAGGTGCCCCTTCCCCTCTCGGGTGTAAAAGGCGGCCCATGGATGATGCGAGAGGTGCTCCTTCCCCTCTTGAATGTACAAGGCGATCGGTACTACAAATTTACAACAGAATCTTCAAGAATAAATAAGGAATGAAGAATAATAAGGAAATGTGTACACTACTTTGCTACCAGGAAGTAAACAGCACAGATAGTAAAAAAAGACGAGCTGTTAACAGGAACCAAACAAACCCTCAACCTCAAAGATACTCTGTTCCTTCCTGGATGCAATGGGAATACTAAGAGTAGGGGGCAGATTAATAAATTCACCCTCCAGGTCGACGAAGAATGCTCAAACCAGATCCCTTCATGACGGAAACCAACTCACAATCCCATTGGTGCATACTGCTAGCCAGGAATTTGGTCAGCACGCCATGAAGGCAGAAGCTCCATGCTCTTTACTTCGTACCCTTTACGGATAGTGTTGCCAAATGACTTTTTGAAGGAATTATTAAGAGATGTCTCTTGTGGCGACATGCAGGGTGAAATCAGGTCGGCTGGATTATCCTCTGACTTAACATGGTTCCAAATGGTTTTGATCACGGAGTGAATATCGCTAATTCTGTTCCTCAGGAAATTGTTGGATTATTCGGGGAGTTCCAATGATTGAAACCCTGCCTCTAGGAAGCCGAAGAACTGTTCAAATGGTGCTTGCAGGGTGTTTTCGAAGGCAATCAGCAGCAACCACCTGTTCACATACGATGTGCATCACCATATGTCCCCCATGACTCGGTTTGTGCACCCATGTTAATTGCACGGAAGCTGCCGGTAACGGTGTCATGGAAGTTCCTCTGGAGAGTTTGGTGCTGTAGTAGATTCGTTTTCAAGTGTTACATTTTGTCCACGTCGGTTAATCGCTTGTGGGAGTGCACCATTTTGTGGCACAGGTCATGGAAGCTGGTCCATGTCGCGTAGTCGCCCTCAAATTGTGGTATCTGTATCCGTGGGAGAGGAACCCTTTCGTTTTCTTTTTTTACTTCTGATTCCCTCTCACGTAACGATAAGTCTCAAGTGTAAAAGACGGTCGATATGGAAAAAGCGAACCACACGAAAACGATCGTAGGTACGAGAAAGGCGGTCGATGCGAAAAGCGGGGACCACGAAAGATGCGAGAGTTTCCCCTTCCCCTCTCTGGTGTACAATCAGGTCGGAAAAGGTCAAATGTAACCCTATCTACGACGTTCGTCTTCTTTAAAGCATTTGATTGGTAGGGCGCCAATGAAGCAAAGAATTAACGACTAAAGATGGCCGTGAGCGTTAATAAGAAACCATTTTGTAGGCGAATAAAAAGGATTAGTTTTGGAAAGATTCATAGTTAACGACGCAGCGAGACCAAATACTGCAAAATTCTCCTATATATGCCGTGTGTCATCAATATAATAGCATAGCCCGCGTTGTTGACTTTAGTATATTATTAGATTCCGTTAATTAACTAAAATAATAATTGTTAATTTTTTTTCATTCTCACTTATTTCATGCTCAAAGTTTTTTTTTCAGCTATTATGCGCACTACATGTATATATCTACCTAATATTGTCATAGTTTATGGAACTATTCTGTTTGGACAATAAATTACTATTATTATTTAGAGTAGAACCGATTAAGGGCCTGTGCTATTTATTACACCATAGACGGAGTTATTGTGGAACCAGGAAACGTTAAAACCTCGTTTTTCATGTCGTGTTCGGTCAAGGACAGATTAATTAAACGCGCGGGGTAATTTTTTACAAAAAAATTCACGTGTCGCCGTTGGAATTATACTTAATTGTTAACTCCGCAATTAATAAGTTCCCGCAGTATTAATTATTAATTAAGTAAGTGCGATGGTGCTTTCTCGCAAATTATCGCATAAGTTTTTGTGGAAGAACATAGCACGGGGGGGAGGGGAGGGAGTACACTGTAACGGGATCCCGCGAAGGGTATTTTCTTTATTTCGAATTTTTTCAAAATCGCTCGTTATTATGCCTCATCCAGTAGTTTGAAGTACCAGGCGTACCACTCTCTAGCTTTGGACCCGTGTTGCGAGACACCTTTGGGTGTTTACGAAGTTTCGGAGAAGTAAGTCAGGAAGAATATTGAAGGTCCTAGCACCGAGGCGATTTAGTTGTCATTAAATTTAAAAAATGTCAAGTTTGTGAAGTGTTTTTCCAAACAAATTTTGGTTGCGATGATGTCGGGAATTTATATGGGTGATTGAGGTCAACGAAAATGTGTAATTTCTATCTATTTATTGTGTATGCGCTTTTGTTCTTCCAGTCTCAGGTTTCACATCCGTAATGTGGTACATTAAATTTCATTTTTGAATCAGCATGAGATAAGCTCGTACCGTGGGAAACTGGTTAACTTGAATTTTTTGAATGATTAACGACCTTCAGAACCATCTGAGATTGGTAGTAAAAAAGACACTAACCAATAAAGAATCGCCATTTATGGGCGTAAAAAGTTTATTCAGAAATTGAAGAGGAGATCGAATCTCTCAACGAGCGAGGAGAGATCGCAATCCATTTCATTAAAAAGGGGAATTCAAGATATTTCTTTTTTTCGGTATGAAGACAATTATATTTTTCGAACAAGGGCAGTTGGAGAAGAGTAAAGTTGTATAAAATCCGTCTCGTCGAGTTATTAACCGCAAAAGTTGCGTTTTAATATATACAAAGACTTACTATTGTGTGATAAACCAAAGAGGAAACTTAAAACTCTGAAGTGTTGCAAACCTAAATAAATAAAGACTAAAATGTGCTGATCAAACGGGTTTATCGTTACGCGTTACAGAAAACTTTGCGTCGACGTGGCGTATTAACAAAATCGCGAGAATTAAATCCTATAAAGTAGCGAAATTATAACTAGAGAACTTAGGTCACTCGGTCCCATTGTTTGAGACCTCATTATAATCTGCTTACTAAGTAATTTGAGCAGACAATCTTAAACCTACAATTAACCTATTGTACTCCCCTGAATTGGGATCCGCATTTTTGTAAAAAAAAAGGTTTCACGCAAAGAATCGAACCCGAGCCGCCCGGTTGCAAGCCAAGTTTCCTTGCCACTAGACCATTACGGCACACATTCAGTCGTTGTTAAAGTGAGTAGCTGTGGGAATAATGTGTGTCTGGCGACAGGAAAGAACCGAGACGGAATTGAATGGTACCAATGAGATTGAGGGGGAGTGGGGTTACATTTACACTTTGTTAATTAGCTACTTAGTTTTTTTTTTATTAAAAACTACACGTAAATGTCAATACACGAGGTACTATCGATTTATTGTGGAAACAAGACATCAACACCAAACCGTTGAAATATCTGGTTGGCGATTGTCTTAAAGGAGTTAGCATAGCCTATTTCGTAACCCCGCTTGTCCGTCTCTAAAACGTATTCAGTATTATCGACAACAAACTTGGTCAACCTTTTGGCCCGCTCAGTTTCGTTACTGAGAATCTCAACTCCAAAATCCTTAATACGGGTTAGAGTCATATCCGAGTCTGTAATATTTATTATCTTGGTTCCTTCACTTTCAATAACAGAACCCACCAATTGGACCCATAAGTCGATATCCCCTAGAACTGAGAGTGAGACGAGTTAAGTTTCGACTTACTCACAGTAGCTGTACGACAGGAATCCCTGACTGCTTAAATCGTCACCGTCAACTATCGCGTTGTCGAACTTGTAACTCATTCGGGCTACAATTGCCTGGTTGTGACCGAACATTTCCAGGGAAAAATTACGTTCGTCCAAATGTAATCTGAAATTTTTGACCTTTATTATTAGGTCTACCACCCAATCACCCACGTTAGGTTTTCTATCGTGGAGAACGGAAAGTTGTACACTCTGGCGTTTTGGAACTGCTGGGTAAAAGCGAGCGGCGGACTCCCAGGCGCTTCCCAAGAACCCATCTTTATCGGCTGAATGGACTCGATTCCGTACCTGGGGAGACCTGCATAGAAATTCAGTTTAGGTACTCATTTCGGCTTCCGATAGTACTCTCGTACCATTCTCCAAGAGTTGCAGTGCGCCATTAATGGCATCCTTCAGGCAGTTGTTGAAATTAGCATCGGATCGTTTGCAAACCTGAAACGGAACTGAAAGTGCGTTTAATCCTGAACCTTGAAAGCAAATGATTGATTACCTGAGGATGCGGACGTAAAGCTGAATACAAAAGCAATGACGATGGCAATGCCCATAGCGTTTTGGAAGGATGAGACGAGCTGCGTTGTTGCTCACTTTATACATACACGCACCAAATTATACTGTAAACCCATACATAAACGACAATTTGAAATATAGATAATAGATATGGTAATTGGAGAATTAGTACCATTGAATCATGGAATGTCAGTTATTTACTAGAACTAGGTAAACAAGAAGATTTGAATAAATTCATTCCCAAACTGATTTTTTGGTAGTATCATTCATTGTTGGTATGCGGATAAAATTGGACGAAGGACAGGTCCCTGATCCTTTACAGACGCACATATGAGAAAAATGGAAAAAATTGCGTTTCAAAATTCTATTCGTCATAACATCTAGAAGGCCATAGCGCGTATTGAAATACAAAAACACAAATTCTGTTTAAGTACCTTATTTACAAGGGGTCTATAACTACCCTTCGAGCAGTTCTAATTCGGGCAGTGTGGAACACCGTAAACTTTAGTAATGGTGGAGTGGAACCAAAAATAGATGTAGCTTAACCCTAATCAATTAAACGTTAATCTCTGCTTCCAAATTATGCGAACTATATTTTGTAAGAACGATTAAACCAAAACCATTACTACGTGAGATTTTCAGAAATAGAGAAAATATGTAAAATTAGGACCCTTTTACACTATACATTTAGCAATAAATTTAATTATTTATTTATTTTTTAGAGCACAATATGCTTCATCTGAGACTTCTAACCATAAGAGGGTGTGAATGTGATCCCGCTCTCTCAAGGAGTCGATATTTCCGGATCAGATGTCGTGTTATCCCTAGAAATAAAGAAAATAGGTTAAATTAGGACCTTTTCACACTATACAATTAGCAATTTATTTATTTATTTATTTTTTAGAGCACGATATGCTTCTTCTTAGACTTCTGCCCATAAGAGGGTGTGAATGTGATCCGGCTCTCTCAAAGGGTGGATATTTTCACATCAGATGTCGTGTAATCCCTAGAAATAGAGAAAATATGTTAAATTAGAACCCTTTCACACTATACAATTAGCAATTTAATTATTTATTTATTTTTTTGAGCACGATATGCTTCATCTGAGACTTCTAATATAAGAGGGTGTGAATGTGTTCTCGCTCTCTCAAGGGGTGGATATTTCCCCATCAGATGTCGTGTTATCCCTAGAAATAGAGAAAATATGTAAAATTAGGACTCTTTCACACTATACAGTTAGCAATTTAATTATTTATTTATTTTTTAGAGCACGATATGCTTCTTCTGAGACTTCTACCCATAAGAGGGTGTGAATGTGATCCGGCTCTCTCAAAGGGTGGATATTTTCACATCAGATGTCGTGTAATCCCTAGAAATAGAAAAAATATGTTAAATTAGGAACCTTTCACACTATACAATTAGCAATTTAATTATTTATTTATTTTTTAGAGCACGATATGCTTCTTCTGAGACTTCTACCCATAAGAGGGTGTGAATGTGATCCGGCTCTCTCAAAGGGTGGATATTTTCACATCAGATGTCGTGTAATCCTAGAAATAGAAAAATATGTTAAATTAGGACCTTTACTATACAATTAGAAATTTATTTATTTATTTATTTTTTTGAGCACGATATGCTTCATCTGAGACTTCTAACCATTCATAAGAGGATGTGAATGTGATCCCGCTCCCTCAAGGGGTGGATATATCTGGATCAGATGACGTGTTATCCCTAGAAATAGAGAAAATATGTTAAATTAGGACCCTTTCCCTAGAAATAGAGAAAATATGTTAAATTAGGACCCTTTCACACTATACAATTAGCATTTTAATTAATTATTTATTTTTTTGAGCACGATGATCTTCATGTGAGACTTCTAACCATAAGAGGGTGTGAATGTGATCCTGCTCTCCCAAGGGGTGGATATTTCCACATCAGATGTCGTGTAATCCCTAGAAATAGAGAAAATATGTTAAATTAGGACCTTTACTATACAATTAGAAATTTATTTATTTATTTATTTTTTTGAGCACGATATGCTTCATCTGAGACTTCTAACCATTCATAAGAGGATGTGAATGTGATCCCGCTCCCTCAAGGGGTGGATATATCTGGATCAGATGACGTGTTATCCCTAGAAATAGAGAAAATATGTTAAATTAGGACCCTTTCACACTATACAATTAACAATTTAATTATTTATTTATTTTTTAGAGCACGATATGCTTCTTCTGAGACTTCTACCCTTAGGAGGGTGTGAATGTGATCCGGCTCTCTCAAAGGGTGGATATTTTCACATCAGATGTCGTGTAATCCCTAGAAATAGAAAAAATATGTTAAATTAGGAACCTTTCACACTATACAATTAGCAATTTAATTATTTATTTATTTTTTAGAGCACGATATGCTTCTTCTGAGACTTCTACCCTTAGGAGGGTGTGAATGTGATCCCGCTCTCTCAAGGGGTGGATATTTTCACATGAGACGTCGTGTAATCCCTAGAAATAGAGAAAATAGAAATAGAGAAAATATGTTAAATTAGGACCCTTTCACACTATACAATTAGCATTTTAATTAATTATTTATTTTTTTGAGCACGATGATCTTCATGTGAGACTTCTAACCATAAGAGGGTGTGAATGTGATCCTGCTCTCCCAAGGGGTGGATATTTCCACATCAGATGTCGTGTAATCCCTAGAAATAGAGAAAATATGTTAAATTAGGACCTTTACTATACAATTAGAAATTTATTTATTTATTTATTTTTTTGAGCACGATATGCTTCATCTGAGACTTCTAACCATTCATAAGAGGATGTGAATGTGATCCCGCTCCCTCAAGGGGTGGATATATCTGGATCAGATGACGTGTTATCCCTAGAAATAGAGAAAATATGTTAAATTAGGACCCTTTCACACTATACAATTAACAATTTAATTATTTATTTATTTTTTAGAGCACGATATGCTTCTTCTGAGACTTCTACCCTTAGGAGGGTGTGAATGTGATCCCGCTCTCTCAAGGGGTGGATATTTTCACATGAGACGTCGTGTAATCCCTAGAAATAGAGAAAATATGTTAAATTAGGACCCTTTCACACTATACAATTAGCATTTTAATTAATTATTTATTTTTTTGAGCACGATGATCTTCATGTGAGACTTCTAACCATAAGAGGGTGTGAATGTGATCCTGCTCTCCCAAGGGGTGGATATTTCCACATCAGATGTCGTGTAATCCCTAGAAATAGAGAAAATATGTTAAATTAGGACCTTTACTATACAATTAGAAATTTATTTATTTATTTATTTTTTTGAGCACGATATGCTTCATCTGAGACTTCTAACCATTCATAAGAGGATGTGAATGTGATCCCGCTCCCTCAAGGGGTGGATATATCTGGATCAGATGACGTGTTATCCCTAGAAATAAAGAAAATATGTAAAAATTGAGATCAAGGGTCAAGTTCTAACTTAATTTAAACCTACCTTTTCGCACTATACGGTTAACAATTTATTTATTTATTTTATTTTTTAGAGCACGATAATCTTCATCTGAGACTACCAACCATAAGAGGGTGTGAATGTGATCCCGCTCTCTCAAAGGGTGGATATTTCCACATCAGATGTCGTGTTATCCCTAGAAATAGAGAAAATATGTTAAATTAGGACCTTTACTATACAATTAGAAATTTATTTATTTATTTTTTTTTTTGAGCACGATATGCTTCATCTGAGACTTCTAACCATTCATAAGAGGATGTGAATGTGATCCCGCTCCCTCAAGGGGTGGATATATCTGGATCAGATGACGTGTTATCCCTAGAAATAAAGAAAATATGTAAAAATTGAGATCAAGGGTCAAGTTCTAACTTAATTGAAACCTACCTTTTCGCACTATACGGTTAGCAATTTATTTATTTATTTTATTTTTTAGAGCACGATAATCTTCATCTGAGACTTCTAACCATAAGGGGGTGTGAATGTGATCCCGCTCTCTCAAAGGGTGGATATATCCGGATCAGATGTCGTGTTATCCCTAGAAATAAAGAAAATATGTAAAATTGAGATCAAGCGTCAAGTTTTAACTTATATTAAACCTACCCTTTCGCACTATACAGTTACCAATTAATTAATTTTTTTAGAGCACAATATGCTTCATCTGACATTTCTAACCATAAGAGGGTGTGAATGTTATCCTGCTCCCCCAAGGGGTGGCTATTTCCAGATCAGATGTCGTGTTATCCCTAGAAATAAAGAAAATAGGTAAAATTAGGACAAAGGGTCTAGTTCCAACTTAATTTAAAGCTACCCTTTCGCACATAGTTAGCAATCTATTTATTTATTTATTATTAAGAGCACGATATGGTTCATCTGAGTCGTCTAACCATAAGAGGGTGTGAATGAGATCCCGTCCACTCAAGGGGTGCATATTTCCAGATTAGATGTGTCCCTAGAAATAAAGAAAATATGTAAAATTGAGACCAAAGGTCAATAATTTCTAACTTAATTTTAAACCTACCCTTTCGCACAACACAGTTAGCAATTAATTTATTTATTTTTTTTAGAGCACGGTATGTTTCAGCTGAGACTTCTACCTGCAAGAGGGTGTGACTGAGATTCCGCTCTCTCAAGGGGTGGAAATTTGCAGATCACATGTCGTGTTATACCTAGAAATAAAGGAAATTTTGGTTTTCAGTTAGTGAATTGATTATTTTATGTGCACCCTTAAACTTTATTTAAATTCACAGAAATTCTCTTGAAATGTTATTCGTTTCGGGTCATTAATTTCTTGTGAAAACTTGCACGACCCAAAGCATCTATGGGAACGAATTTATTTAGATCTGTTTGTTTGCTTGTTTCCAAGTGTGTGTTATTAATTGGCATGTATCATGATTGAATGGCACATTACAACCAGTTATAAGAAAAACGATTACTCCAATCTGTGCATTCCGTTGCATAAAAACAAGTTGCCCTTGTGATGTATGATTAATTTAAATTTCAAATGTATTCCTGTGACTTTTTCAGAAAACTATGTGGCGTAATGCAAAGATGCAAGACACAGATCCGTAAAACGTTTCAATGGAGCCACAAAGACATTAGAAGAAAGAGAAACCACCGCAAAGATAAATACTGTCAAGACAAAACACTAAGACCTTCCAGATAGATGCGAATTGAAGAAAGTAATGGTTATCAAGAGAAAACACTTGCATCCAATTAACTCGACGGCAAAGAACTACAACTACGTGACCAAAATCAAATAAAAGAAGAAGAAGGAACCTCTGAAACTGTAAAAAAATGTCAAAAATGTCAAATCGAAACCATGTCAGTTAGACAGAGTATCACATTGACAAAGTCATACTGATTTTTTATAAGGAATTCGAAAATGCCATCAGAAAAGATAGTGCCATTTGAAATAATAAAGTTCCGGTACCGTTCTGATACAACCGGCCATTTTGAAAATATTTTTAAATGATTCATTTTGATCGATTATTAAAAAAAGGTAATGGCTCCCGAATCGAAATTCGTGAAATACTTCTAATGGTCCAATTAAAAACACCACCCTGTATAGTAGAGACATAGATAATCATTGAACGGGCTTTACACACAAAGATGGTTGCAGAGTCTTGTTCAGACTCTCGATAAACACGATAAGATTTCTCGCGCGATTCGGGCGTTGTGTGTTGAAATCAACAGATCCTTTTTTTGGATGGGCCGTACATATCGGTGTATTCGTAATAAAAAAATGCATGCAGTATGTAATTTTTCTACGGGTTGACGATGATTCCTCTGTAACGAAACGTTGTATTGAAAATCTCTCAACCATGTCTTGTAGAGATCAAAAAGTGGCAATGAAGTGTTTCGTTTTGTATCTGTTCAAATAACATCATTTTTTTTGTATGGGTGTGAAGTTACCAGTTTCGTCAAGCAGAAAAGAAGACAATGGTGTCGCGTAGTGTCTCCTTTACGAGCATGTTATCAGTCTTATTAATTAGAAAGTGCGAATGGCGCAAGTGAATAAGGCTTATTTGTGTTTTACATTATGACGTTATACGGTTATCTCTTCCAACGTTTCCGATTGTTACAAGGATGGCGAAATCTGTGACTTTTTTTACTTGCTCTAAAGCAATGCTAATTTTTGACACAAAAAATGCGTCATGCAAAAACATCCCTCCATTTAACTTGCAAATAAAGCACTTTGCATAAAATGACAACCTGTTTCAAGGTGTAAACAAACTAATTATAAAAACACATATAGCTTTTTTTGGACACCATTTCGAAAGGTAATGCATTCAAATTTGTTTATTTAACTAAAAATTCAATGAATGTGAATTTATAATTTTACATAAACTATTTTCCGCAGGTTTTAATGGGTTGTTTGTTTATGGTTGCCTTTAGTGAGGGACATAGTCCATCAGCCTATGTCAGAATGTGTTTATATGGTTGGCTTCCAACTACTACCTGCGGTTGAACCGGTCTAGCCCAAGACCATGCAGGATAACAGGAAAACATACACGTTCTTGAATAATGGTGTATTTGTTGATTTTTACAACGTGCTAATACGACGGTATCTGAATGCTTGCGCTGACCAGTAGCAGAATGTTACTTGGGAAAGAGGGAATCGAAGGAAAACTTGGATAACACGTCGTTGGCGACGTCTTTGAAGATGTTAGCGTAGGCCTTTTCGTAGACATCCTTTTCTTTGGCGACGAGGTACTGAGCGTTGTTATGGTAAAACTTGCTCAGCTTCGCCACGCGCTCGGTGTCTTTACCGCGGAACTCGGTGAAGAACCTCTCCATGCTTATTACGTTCATGTCTACATTTGTTATGTTGATCTTCTTATCCCCACCGATGGTCACCTCGGTTCCTGTGAAGTTGAGCTGAAACTCCATTTCGTCTAGAAGTGAATGTCAGAAAGGGACAAAACGGATTTGCGCATCACTCACTGTAAATATACGTAAGGTCTCCCGAACAGCTCAAGTCCTCACCGTCGATGATTGCGCCGTCGAACTCAAATTCGGTTTCGTAGGACACGTTGTGGTTGTGCGCCGTAAATCCGATGAAAATGTTGGGGTCGTCAATGTTGATGCTAAAACTGAAAAGGTGAACTGGCGCAAGTGACAGGGTTGACTTACCTCAGATCCTCTATTTTGGTCAGCGGGTAATTGTAAAACTTGGAGTTGCGAAACTTCTGATCGTAGACCAGAGGAGGTCTCGCCGGAACCATCCACGATTCCACCGATATTGGCTGGATCGAGGGAATTCCGTACTCGGGAAGCCCTAAAACTCGACTATTAGCACCGGGTCTTTCACAAACCTGAGTCCAAACCATTTTCGAGTAGGATCAGCGCGTTCTCGATGGCAGGTTTCAGACATTCCGCTAATTTGGGGTCGGTTCGTTTGCACACTTGGAACGGAACTGAAAAACAGAATTAACCATTGGCGAAACCGCTTCGAAACCTACCCGCAGCCGAACTCAATTGGAAGATCGCTGCAAAAAGGCATGTGTAGCTTAGGATTGTGGACATGTTTACTGTGCGCTCAAAGAGGCCCGGTACATCTTTATACGTTGCCAAACCAGAGGTAATTGCGCATTGTTCTATGCAGAAAATTTCTCAAGACTGTGCGAAAGTACTTGTTTGAAAGTGTGAATTATGGGAGGACGATGCTAATTAAGAACGTCATAATGATGACATTTGCGTCACCAAATTCTGCCCCCAAGTGAAGGTCCCTGGATCAAAATCATTGTAGGCTCCAAATTCCAAAATATTTTCCAAACGGCACATCTTCAGCGATTTAATTTATTTAATTTAATCATAGATCTTTACACGAGTTTGAGAAGTTATATGCGAGTTTCGAGCGTTTCAAAAAAGCTTTCCCTTTTAATGGTGGTGTCTCGAAGAGTAAGTGTATAATATACAAGACGATAAAGAGATATTGTAACCACTGAGTTAATCAACTTTCACCAGATGGTTAGTTTCCCTGTCTCATACGAGATTTTATTTTATATCAGAAGCCATATAAATCATTGTAAGGCTTCTGGCAAATCTGAATTTAATTTAGACGTCTGAACGTCATTTAATATCGTGCTCCGCGTCCCATTTGAAATAAGAATGCATAAACATCTGTTTTACGTCATATACCTTTGCGGTAAAAGTGATCACTGTATCTACTCTCGCGGACAAAGAGGCACTTATTGGTTTTTTTTAAGTTTCCAGGCATGTTTTTTGAGATATGGACCCTCCCCCTCCATGGTACCAACGAGTAATGATACGAAAAAAATGTGGTAGACACAGGCGATTGAACCACCATTTAAAATATCCCACTATATTGGATTAAATGTGCATCAATATCGATGTTGTTGAATTTTTTATCTGAAATAGTGTGATGTTTCAATTAATCTCAAACCTTTTTGAGTCTTTTTTTATCCCTGTGCCTTCTGTAGCCTACTTGCTCATCTGGTCTTCCAGTCGTCGTGAATGTTCCTGAACTTTTCTGAACTTTGGTGTCATCTTTGGCGATATTAGGTTTTTTTGCGTCCTCTTAAGTAGTTTTCAACCTATACTCTCCCACGTTCGGGCCTGCCTGCATCTTTCTGAACTTTTTCTTTGCCATTTATCAAATCGGACTCCTAACATGCACGTTATCTTGAATCTTGAGATTTTTTTTGTTTTCGTTAGTTACTGTTCCCACCTTTTTTCCGTAATGTTTATGATTCTCTGTACGAAACAAAAAAAAATAAAGCCGCTATTATTATTATTATTCCCATGATTTTATGTAGTCCTATGATAATTGTTTTAGGTCGGTCCAAAATTGCCCTTGTTAGGGTCTGTGTTACGGACAGTTTCTGACCATTCATCAGCCTTTCGAATATTAGCAATTACATTTTTTTGCTTCTTTCTTTTAGTTAGCTATCTGGAGCAAGTTTTCGTAACGCTCAGATGACGCTACCTCCGGTGCTACATCACGCTGAAATTAAGGAACGTTTGTGTAGAGGGCGCCACTAACTCGCTCGATTTAAATCGTTGTTCGTAAGATTCTTCCTATTATCCACGAAAACAAGTTCTCATATTCTTTATAATTGACTTTACTGGATTTGGATTTGCCACCTACAACTTTTCTTCTGCTTCTGCAACAAGCCACTGAATGAACGGTTTATTTTCTTTTTCAACCGAAGTCATTTTTACAAAGACTGCCAAAACGTTGTGACATTTCCATGGAAATCGTGGAATTAAGAATAAATAACTCACATAATTAGACGCGTAGTGCCTTTAAACTTGTCTCTTATTATACTATGCTAAATAATTTAAAGTAATGTTAATTTTGGACACGAAAAATCCGTCATGCTAACGCCTTCCTCCATTTACCTTGCAAAAAAGCACTTTGCATAAAATGACAACAAACAGTTTGTTTCAAGATGTAAACGATCGAATTAAAAAAATTACACATTTCAAAAGGAAATGCATTCAAATTTGTTTAATTAACAATGCAATAGCTAACATGCGTATTTATGATTTTCCATAACTATTTTCCGCAAGTCATAATGGATTATTTGTTTATTGGCGCCTTTTGTGACGGATATGGTCCATTAGTCTACGTCAGAATTTGTTTATATGGTTGGGACCGAACAACTTTGAAAAGTTATATGCGAGTCAAAAAAGATTTGCCATTTATGGGAGTACCTCGAAGAGTAAGTGGCGAATCTTTATATATACAATTCTTCTGTACGCGTGTTTGTGACCGAACTTCTCCTAAAAGGCTGTTCTCGAGCGGTTTAGATTCACAATCGGGCCCGATCGGATTATTGAATTTTTTTTTAATTCTTTTTTCGTTGATGTCGCACTCTGCTATTTCGCGTACCGATCGATACCACTTACGTCGTACCGTGCCAATGTGATTACACTTTTACATTCTGTACGCTAGGTTTCCGTTATCTTGTAATCGTCAATATCGACGAAGTCGCGGGGGAAAATCTAGTAAAAGAATAAAATGAGACGTTAGAAAGAGACTTCTTGGTTTGTTTTAAGTTATGTTTTTGAGACATGGACTTGCCCAATTGGATATTAAAATCGTTGCCCATCGACTTGTTATCTCGTTCGGACTCACCCCAGGGAGAAATGTGGGCGCTTGTAGACAACGTTGGGAGCTCGAACCGTTTCGTGGCCCATCTCCATATTTGTGATTTTGGAAATTCACTCCAAAATGTAGCATTTACTCGGACCGGAACCCTTGTGGTAACGCGGCACCAATTCGTTTAACGCCTCGAAGCATTAGAGTTGTACCGTCTAATGTACACCATCCGGCGCGAAGGATCAAATGTAGTGTTAGGGTCGTAAATCCCACGCTAACTTACACAAAGTAAATTCCGTCGGGGATTCTCTATAACACATTATCCGGTACGTTACTGACATTTCGAATTGTTGAATGACAATTTTTATTGTAAGAATTACATGCTATTTATACAGGGTGTTAATTAATTGAGTGCCCATAATACAGGGTGTGAATCATCGGGTGATTTTAAGGAGAAAAGTTTATATCAACACATGTCTTAAATATCTTAGTTTTGGACCTACAGGGTGTTAAAATTTTAAGAAAAAAGTCAGTTTTTACCATGACATATTTATGAAACTTTTTTGACATAAAATATTGTTTATTCTTACACGTTATACTTCCGTACTTTTGGAGGGCGCTTTAAATTTGTTCTAAATGAACATCTTGACCCACCAGCAGGAAGGGAGGTCGAGTTTAGGATTGTGAGACTTACAGTTGGAGACAGAATTTTATAAAGCGAACGTCACGATCAAAGCAACTTTGTTGTTAAAGTACACCTGGTAGTTGTTCATTAGCATCGTTCTCCCATAATTAACAAATTCAAACAGCTACTTTCGCACAGTCTTGAGAAACCACTTACTTTGCACGTAAAATAATGCGTAAATTACCCTTGGTTTGGAAACGTATAAAGATGAACTGTCTCCTTGGAATCCACAGTAAACATGTTCGCAATCCTAAGCTACACGTGCCTTTTTGCAGCAATCTTCCAATTGAGCTGCGCTGAGGGTAGTTTTCGGAGCGGTTTCGCCGACGGCTAATTCTCTGTTTTCAGTTCCGTTCCAAGTGTGCAAACGGACCGACCCGAAATTGGCGGAGTGCCTGAAACCCGCCATCGAGAACGCGCTGATCTTACTCGAGAATGGTATGGCCTCAGGTTTGTGAAAGACCCGGTGCTAATAGTCGAGTTTTAGGGTTTCCCGAGTACGGAATTCCCTCGATCCAGCCAATATCGGTTGAATCGTGGATGGTTCCGGCGAGACCTCCTCTGGTCTACGATCAGAAGTTTCGCAACTCCAAGTAACCAACGTAGACATGAACATAATAAGCATGGAGAGGTTCTTCACCGAGTTCCGCGGTAAAGACACCGAGCGCGTGGCGAAGCTGAGCAAGTTCTACCATAACAACGCTCAGTACCTCGTCGCCAAAGAAAAGGATGTCTACGAAAAGGCCTACGCTAACATCTTCAAAGACGTCGCCAACGACGTGTTATCCAAGTTTTCCTTCGATTCCCTCTTTCCCAAGTAACATTCTGCAAATGGTCAGCGCAATCATTCAGATACAGTCGTATGAGCACCTTGTAAAGACCAATAAATGCCATTATTAAAGATCAGGGTGGTTTTCCTGTGATCCTGCTTAGGGCCGACTTTTCCATTTTGGAAAATAGGTACCTTGACAACGATTGGTTCAATAATGGTATCCATGGTATTCGTCACCCATTTTATTTTTCAGGGTAATCTTGACTCGTGTTTTAACCAATCACAGTGAAGGTCAAACTGTCCCTATGCTTTCTATCGGTACCTTCTTAAAATGAATACAGTATAGGTGCAATACCTTTGGCTGAAACCTCCCCCACTATAAACGAGTGCAGATAAAGCGCATTTTTTATATTTTCCATAATATTGCGTAGAAAAAAAAAGGTTTCTTTTAGATATTTTTACGTAGAATCCAGTGGCGTACTAAAAAAAATGTTGCACCACCGTTTTTGAGATTTGGTTCAACGTTGGTATTTTTTAAATGCAACGCCCTTATGGGTAAACGTATTAAAAATATTAACCGGACAAGATTTATTTATAATATCATAAAAACACGTGTTATCAATCAAAAATCATTCTCAAACTTCTCCTTGTTTTTCTATTTAAGTTTTCATGTCGTTACCCCCCAGAAGAGTGATTAAACTTATTATGAGATGAGGATATATATGCCTTCAATGAACTCCGGCGCGACTCGATGCTGAAGAATTGTCTCCCAAGCATACTCTCTTTATTTTGAAGAAAAATTGAGCAAATCACAAACCGGCATGCGACAGGGTGACCCCCTAGGACCCGCCCTTTTCGCCGTCACTATTCAACAAATGGTGGTCTCCTTGAAGCCTGAACTATATATTTGGTACATGGATGATGGAACCATCCCAGAAGTTATCCTACAAACACCCCAGAAAGTTTCGTGTGACATAAGTCATCTTGGTCTTCAACTCAACTTGAAGAAATGTGAGATCACTGTCTTAGGCCTCGATCCGGTAGCCGAAGATAACATATTGCAACAGTTCCAGTAGGTAGCTCCTGATATTACTATTCTAAACCTCGATAAAGTCTCGGAACTCTTTTGTCTGTGGACTCAATTCGAAGAATGCTACTACGGAAGATCAAAAATTTGAAAACTTTTAATCAGTCACTGAGTTTCTGCCCACTCAGCTTTCAGTAGATTTGGCGTTGCGGTTTAAGACTCGGAATCTAAGCTCACAGGTGGCGAGTTCGAATCCCACAACGTGCCAGTTTTTAGTGGCACAGAACATCTCTTGATTGCCATGCTTCGGAGGGCATGTAAAGCTCGCGATCGTAATACCACAATTGTCGTTAAGTCGCACAGACGGCTGTTGATGCGGCCTAGTCCGGGAAATAGTGACTAAAAAAGAACCATTTCCTGCAAAACGAGAAGTAGTTCTAATTTTTTCCGCATGTCATGGGGGATCATCTGATGGTTGAGAATCCAAGTTTTCGACCTCCCAACCCTTGTGCTTCCCCCATACGATCCCTAAAACTCCCGAAATTTGGTTGGTTTTTTAATTTTTAAAGGTTCACTTTACAACAAAATATTGTTATAATAATAATAATAATAATATTTATTACTGCATACTTGTAACAAAAAATATACTTACATTTGCAGAAGTCACACTTAAACAATATTTTCGAAATCAAAATTTTCAAATTCTGCTACGCTATAAAAGGCATGTTTAATTAATACACATTTAAGAATTTTCGTCAGGTTTAGGATTGATAATTTTCTTATACTTAAAAGTAATTTATTAAAAAGTATGACAGAAGTGTTTTGAAAACTCATATATGTTTTGTGTAGCCTACAGTATTTCACATAAATTTCTGTGGACGAAAGTGTGTTGTGGGAGTGTATGTCAGATCTTAAGGAATAATTGTCTAATTAAGATCTGGCATACAAAATGCAATTTAAAATATATATAGAAGGAACACTTAGTGCTATTAGAAATTGTAGACCATACAGTTTTACAGCAGTTTGATACACACTTCTTTTTTGTGAAGTTTTTATTTAAAAAGATTTAGAGCATCAAAGTTGTCTATATTTTGAAGAATTCTGAAATTTCTATGTATCTATTATACAGGGTGCCCGTTATGTATGGACTATAGTATAGATTTCGATAAAATATCGAATGTATACAAAAATTTGTTATATGAGAGTTGTTGAACATTTTATTTTCCATAATAAGGCAGCAATCAGTTGTTTTTATTTCAGAAAACAAATGAGTAACGAAAAACAATTGAATTTTTTTTTAATGGCAGTCCATCTTTTCATTAGGCTCATTTGCTAGAGATCGATGATATAACATGTTAGGGCCCTAATACAAGAAAATTTTTCAAAAAAACTTTTTATAATCACATCAATAACATTACTCTAGATATCCTAGATCAAAATAAAACAAATGAATGTGTACGTTTGTTACCATTGTATTGCTAATTTTATTTTGTCTTCAAAGTTTAATAAGAAAAGTTCACGCTTATTTATTTTATTTTGATGTAGGGTATCTAGATTAATGTTATTGATGTGATATGTGAAATAGTTTGATGAACTACCAATACATGAGGATTAAATACTAATTTATTTATTTATTTATTTTGAAAACGTAAATTTAAAAGATTGTTTGTTATAACTGCATGGACAAAGAGCTTTGTTTTGTCATACATCTTAATTTTCAATTGTTTTTTATATTTTGTAATTTATTTATTCCTTTGAGCTTATTAATTAGTACTAGGATTAATACGTAGTTGTTACGTTTGAACGTAACGGAATGATAATTTCTGTTAGTATGATAAGAAACAAAATTTATTTTTTACTTTATATATATATGGTACAGACCAATAAGTCATAGACTTGGACAGTCCATTACATGCATACATTTATTTTATTAATAAACCATTCAATTCAATTATATGTTTTTTTGAAAAATTTTTCTTTATTGGAGTACTAACATGTTACATCATCGAAAAGAGAAAAAAAATCTGTATCAAATGGGCCTAATGAAAAGGTACCCTTCCATTTAAAAAAATTCAATTGTTTTTCGATACTCATTTGTTTTCTGAAATAAAAACAACGGAATGCTGCCTTATTATAGAAAATAAAAATAATAAATGACATTACAATCAATAATCATTATTTCAAGTATGGTTATATCGACTTAAATCGTTATTTTTTTGTTATTTGCAACATTTTCAATTAACTACATGCGAAATTAGATCACTCACTAGTAGGCGGTGGACACTTTGTAACCCGAAAGCCCAATCTTCAAATGAGTATAACTTTTGTTTGAAAAGGTATTTTAAAAAACTGTTCGACAATTTTGTTCCTTAACTCATCAAGTATGTACACAACACATTTCGTGGAATTCTCTCCATTTTCGTTGTGCGGTCAAGAATTGCAGTGGAACTGTTTTTTTCGAATTTTCAAAAACTAATTTCAGGTTCGCGATTTTCATGTTCAAAAACCCCCAGATATCAAATTTTTTTCGCATTCCTGCACGTAAACATTACGATTTTTTTAATGTTTTGAAAATATCTTCTTTTTTGCCTAGAAAACTTTGTCTTAGGTAGTGTACGTACATAGTTTCTTGCGTTTTTATGAACTAATAGCGCAATTTCTTATTAAAAGATACTGATATTTACATTTTTGAAATCGGAAAGAAATTCTCTATCAAATGACCCAAAAGGTAAAGATGACTTCCATAAGAAAAAACAAAGTTGATGATGGTCCACTTGAGACGAAACGTCAAACTTAAAATTAAGTAGCATCTTATAGAGGAAAAGTGACCACAATAATGTGTCATTTATTTCGAAATAGCTTGTTAAACTTCAATAAAAAATCAAAACGATTTTGCAAAATTTCGTTTTTTTTCCGGATATCTCCGAAAGTGGTCGGAGTTTTTTCAGTTTCAAAACTGCATTTTGTTAAGCATCAAAGTACGAAACTTTGCCAAATTTAAACTACCTGGCTATCTCTTACAGTTCCCGAGATTCCCATGGTGATTTGAATCAGCCTGTATAATATCTACGTAGAAATTTCAGAATTCTTCAAAATCTAAGCTCTCTACCTTTGTTAATAACAATTTCGCAAAAAAGCAATACATATCCAAGTTGTGTGAAATTTTATAGTCTACATTTTCTGATTGCAATATTTTGTGCTAAAGTGAAAAGATACGATTGGAAAACTAAGAAACCAACCAAATTTCGTGGGTTTTGGGAGTGGTACGGGACAAGCACAAGGGGTCGAAAACTTGGATTCTTAACCACCAGATGTCACATACTGTCTCTATTCCCTGGACTAACATGAAAACGTCTGTAGCTAGAGAGTGCCACCCATACGATACGATACAAAGTGATCCCTCTTTCCGAAAGGAAGATCTACTGATTAAATACGATGCCGCGCTCACAGTCATTGTTGAAGACATCTTGAATTTGTCTCTAGATACATCAGCATGGAAGCAAGTCCAATTGACCCCTCTCATCACGATGCAACACTGGTAGAAGCAACCTTAGAACGGTCCAAAACTGGTTGCGACGCCGACGTCCCTGGTATAGGTTTAAGTTAGTTAGAGTTAAGTTGGCAACAATGTCGAGAACCATTGGTTAGATGCCCAATGTAAGCGTTTCGTAGAAGCAAATTAAACAAGTCTTAAACGAAGTATTATTCTTTACCTAACAAATACCACGTAAAGAAACATGGCGCAGTCGGTACATTACTAGCAAGGGGAATTTCAATTATTGCAAGCGTAAGGCATAAATTACAAAATGGTACCTACGATTTTTAGCACTTTGGATGCATCTCAAGGCTTCCACCAAATACCATTAGACGAGGAAAGTGCAAAATTATGTACGTTTGGTACTCCATATGGATTGTATAAATTCAAAAGAATGCCGTACGGTATCAAATGTGCACCTGAAGTTTTCCAGGAAAAATTTAAAGAAATGTTTAATATTGAAGGGGTTACTACATACATTGACGATATATTAGAAGAACATGATGAAAAACTGAAAAGGGTTTTTGAAATAGCAAAAAATAATAATGTCACTTTCAATATGAATAAATGTAAGCTAGGGAAAAGTAAATTAAATTACATGGGACACATAATTTCAGGGGAAGGTATAGAACCAGACAGTAGGAAAATTGATGCAATTACTAACATACCTAGACCTAAAGATAAAAAAGAAGTACAAAGATTGTTAGGAGTTTTCACGGAACCATTAAGAAATCTGTTAAAGAAAGATGTAGAATTTATTTGGCTTGATGATCAGGAAAAGGCTTTCATTCAGTTAAAAGAGGCGTTAAGCAAAAAACCAGTACTGCAATACTTTGATGCGAAGAAAGATACAGTAATATCAGTTGATGCTTCAAAATCAGGGTTAGGAGCGTGCTTATTGCAAAATAAATTACCATGTGCGTATGCATCGAGGGCTTTAACTGAAACACAATGTCGTTACGCTCAGATTGAAAAGGAGTTGTTAGCAATAACATTTGATTTGACTAGGTTTCAATGGAACAAAAGTAACAGTAGAAAGGGATCATTTACCATTAATTACAATATTAAAAAAACCTTTGCACAAAACACCAGCACGTCTTCAAAGAATGTTACTACAAATTCAAAAATATCATTTTGAAATAAAATTTATACCGGGTAAACATTTATTAATAGCGGACACGCTATCAAGGGCATACCTAAACAATAACGAAAAAGATGAGTTTGAGGAAGAAATAAATGCACAAGTATGTTTGGTAGTGTCACAAATCAATGCAACAGAAGAAAGAATGAGTGAATTCAAAATTAAAACTAATAATGATAATGAATTACAGTTATTAAAATCAATTATTATTAACGGGTGGCCAAAAAACATTAAGTGTGTGTGAATGATGCTGTTTAAATATATTGGAAGTACAAACAGTTATAAATGATTTAATTTTTAGAAATACAGCTTTAGTAATACCACGTTTAATGCGAAAAGAAATGCTTGAAAGAGTCCATTACAATCACTCAGGTATTCAAAAATGCATAAGGATAGCTTCAGAGTCAATATTTTGGCCTAACATGAATAATGACATAAAGCAAACGATAATAAACTGTGAAATTTGTATGAAATATTCCAACTCACAAATAAAAGAACCATTGCAGAGTCACGAAATTCCCAGAATACCATGGAATAAGGTAGGGTGTGATTTATTTGAAATTAGAGGGCAAAAGTATTTATTAGTAATAGATTATTATTATTCAAAATATTTGGAAATAGAGAAATTAGGTATAAACACAACTAGTAACAAAATAATTGAGTTATTGAAAACTATGTTTGCTCGACATGGGATTCCATTAACATTGGTAACTGATGGGGGTCCACAATTTTCATCATATGAATTTAAAGTTTTTGCAAAGAATTGGGAATTTAATCATATCTTAACGTCACCTACAAATGCACAATCCAATGGAATGGCCGAAAGGAATGTACAAACTGCTAAAAAAATGTTTAAAAAGATCATTGAAGATAATAAAGATTTACAAATGGCATTGTTGACATACCGAAATCAAAAAATTGACAATGATTATTCACCAGCGGAAATATTAATGTCTAGAAAATTAAGATCAATCAGCTTACCTATCACAAATCAAAATCTTTTACCGAAAGTAATTAAACAAAATCAGTATAATAAATTTTTAAATGAGAGGCAAGTTACTAGTCAGCACTACTATGACAAAAGAGCTAAGAAATTACCAGAATTAGACATAGGAATGCATGTAATGGTACAAATAAAACCAAACACTGTATGGACACCAGGCAGGGTAGTTAGTATACATACAAAGTAAAGATGGAGAATGGCGCTATGTTGATACGGAACAGAAAATTCATTAAAATTAATTACAAACGCAATTGTCCATCATTTACTATGAGAAAAGAGGGAAGTGAGCAGGATGTAGTTAGGAATGATATAAGACCAGAGCCTACTAAAGTATATATAGATATTAAGAACGAAAATAATAATGTAATAGAAAATAAGTCAGAGTTAGCTCCAGGGGATGTAGTTACTAAAAGCGGAAGAATTGTTAAAGCGCCTGTGAAACTAGATCTGTAACAAAGGGGATGTTGGAGTACCTTGTATAGGTTTAAGTTAGTTAGAGTTAAGTTGGCAACAATGTCGAGAACCATTGGTTAGATGCACAATGTAAGCGTTTCGTAGAAGCAAATTAAACAAGTCTTAAACGAAGTATTATTCTTTACCTAACAAATACCACGTAAAGAAACAGTCCCGACTCCCGACATCAAACAACCAGGGTCGTACACGAATGACATTGTACATGCAACAGGAAAAGCACCCCCCGCTCTTAAATAAGTGTATTTATTGATTTTGCAATGATGTTACGACGGTATCTGAAAGTTTGTGCTGACCATTTGGAGAATGTTACTTGGGAAAGAGGGAATCGAAGGAAAACTTGGATAGCACGTCGTTGGCGACGACTTTGAAGATGTTAGCGTAGGCCTGTTCGTAGACATCCTTTTCTTTGGCGACGAGGTACTGAGCGTTGTCATGGTAGAACTTGCTCAGCTTCGTCACGCGCTCGGTGTCCTTACCGCGGAATTCGATGTAGAACCTCTCCATGCTTATTACGTTCATGTCTACGTTTGTTATGTTGATCTTCTTGTCCACACCGATGGTCACCTCTATTCCGGTGAAGTTAAGTTGAAACTCCATTTCGGCTAGAAGTGAATGCCAGAAAGGGCCTAACGAAGTTTGCGCGTCACTTACTGTAAATACAAGTTAGGTCTCCCGAACAGCTCAAGTCCTCGCCGTCGATGATTGCGCCGTCGAACTCAAATTCGGTTTCATAGGACAAGTTGTGGTTGTGCGCCGTAAATCCGATGAAAATTTTGGGGTCGTCAATGTTGATGCTAAAACTGAAAGGTGAACTGGCGCAAGTGACAGGGCGACTCACCTCAGATCCTCTATTTTGGTCAGCGGGTAATTGTAAAACTTGGAGTTGCGAAACTTCTGATCGTAGACCAGAGGAGGTCTCGCCGGATCCATCCACGATTCAACCGATATTGGCTGGATCGAGGGAATTCCGTACTCGGGAAACCCTAAAACTCGACTATTAGCACCGGTCTTTCACATAACCCGAGGCCATACCATTTTCGAGTAAGATCAGCGCGTTCTCGATGGCGGGTTTCAGGCACTCCGCCAATTTCGGGTCGGTTCGTTTGCACACTTGGAACGGAACTGAAAACAGAGAATTAGCCGTCGGAGGAACCTCTTCGAAACCTACCCGCAGCGAAGCTCAATTGGAAGATCGTCGCAAAAAGGCACGTGTAGTTTGGGATTGTGAACATGTTTACTGTGGGCGCAAAGGGAACGGTTCATCTTTATATGCACATATGTTTGCAAACCAAGGATAATTGCTGCATTGATTGACGTCAAAATATGTGATTTTTCCAGACTGTGCGAAACTAGTTTAAATTGTGAGAGGACCATGCTAATTTAAAACTATTAACGTTACTGTAAGTGCTAGCGTGCGCACAATCCTAGCAGGTTCTAAATTCCAAGACATTGGCCAAACGATCCACAATGGGCTCCCCATGACATTTTGAGAAATATTGTCTTAAATTCTGATCCAGATTCTGTCATTTTAAGCTAAAATTTGAGTTCGAATGGAAGCGTTTTAAAAAAGCTTCCCCAACTAATCGTGGCACCTCGAGAGTTGTACCCCGGATCAACAAATGACGTTAATTAATCAACCACTGATTACGTACAGCAATGCATAAGAGATTAAGTGTTCCAGTACGCCTACGTACCGGAAATATGGAAGACGATACCGACCATACAACTTTAACGATGGCGCGCAGGACGTTCCCATCGTTTTCTCAGCTCGTAATAATATTGACAGGTGCGTATTGCCATAATTTCCAAAAATCAGACCTTTTTCCTTAGGCGTGACCTTTGCGACCGTAGGTGGCTGTAAGTGTTGGACAACTTAACTCGTTCACGAATTGTAGATTTCGCCTCAAACCGACGACGATGGCAGTCAATACTATGGATCCGTCCTGCTGGAAGAAGATTTGGAGAAGGTAAGGCATCGGTGCGAAAAAGGATCGGACAGAAAGGGCGAAAAGAATTTCCGAAATTTAGTAGAACTGCTGATCGACAGAGGAAATCAAGTCTACGCGAGGCGTTGGAGGGACAAGGAACTTGTACATCATCGCGAACCGTTGGGAGATCACCACAGGCAAAGCTTGGAAGACTACAAGCGCCACATTAAAGAAATCCACGACCGAGGTGACTACAAGCTGCTCTCCGTTTTGATTTTTGGCGATCGAGGCGAAGACGACCTCAAGGGATTCGTCCCGGAGGACGGTTTCTATTTTCAGGAGGAGAAGCAGAATGAACTCGGGCAGCCCGACGGTGCACTGAGGAAGGAAATCGAAGAAATTGTTATGGAAATCCTTGCAAACCGAGATCAAAAGGAAGATTCTGAAAACGAGAAGGACGTGAGTTGGTTGGTTCCTCCCGATTAGAAGTGCTTTAAATGAGTAGGTAAACAGAAAATCCACCCAAACCAAATTTTTTTGTTAGTATCGTCAAAAAAACACGCTGTAAATGTCGAATATTCTTGAAATTATTCATTTAATACGTATTATTTTTTCTTATAACCTTATCACAATAATTTAATCATTATCACAGTGTGCAAATAATAATAAGCGATGTAACTAATTGCGCTTTTCTTGCACAATTTCCTATTGCCTATGTAAAGATCAGATCATTAGCGTTTATTCCTACAATCTTCTGGGTAAAAGTGTAATTTGGCTTAGTTACATTTACAAGGGTTGAAGACCCCACTTGCATTAAATAAAATTGGACCCCTACGGCACTGGCAAAAATTAGAATCCTCGCTCTCCCACATCTCTCGCAAATCTAACCCGCTAGAAAAACCGAAACGGAGCTTCCTCTCTGAAGGCAGTGACCTCGACTGGCGTGCCCTAACAACCAGTAGAAAACCTGCATTTCGGTTTATTCGGTCGAATCAAATGGAATGGACGCAACATTTAAGTGGAGAGATCGTGGCAACTGCGCTCGTATTGTTGTTATCACCAGACATACTTTTGTGCACGTTCGCTATGAAGCGGTGTATGTGTACATTTGTTGAACAAAACCAAACTTTTGAAAGGGCCATCTGTTACAAGCCTTCTAGGGTCCTTTAAAGTGTTCTAGAGGATCTAAAAGTATTTAAGGTGCACAAGTTGCGAAACTTTCCAAAATGCTCTAGGCTATCTTTATTTAATCCTTCTACGCAGTCTTTTAGAACTTTAAGGCGCTTTAAACGTGTTTAAATGCTTCTAAAACCCTAACACAGACGTAAATATCTTTTGAAAGCCTTTAATGAATTTTCTAGAAAGTTTTAGGGGCGTTTAAGGGCATTTCTTGACCATTTGAGATTACTCAAAAAAGTTACAAAACGCCCTGAAGACTAGCGAAACCCTTTAAGAGCTCAGTTCTAAAATGTTCTTAAAAAATTTATTACATTAGAATCTGTTATTAGTGGCTCTCATACAGAAGGCCCTTTCAAGGTCTCGATTGCTCTTAAAGTAGTACTTTTAACTATTCTTAAATCGATCTTAAAGGCTCTTAAAGAGGGTTGAAAGCTTTTAGAGAGAGAGAGAGAAAGAGAACTCATACATGCTTATCAACGCTCTACAAGGCAAGCCTCTTCCAGAGACCTTTAAAAGCCTTTAAGGGAGAAAGTAGTTGAAGGATTGGAGGGCGTTTGAAATTATTTAAGAGCGTTTTAAAGCCCCGATATACAAAAGAAACCTCAAATGACCCGGCCCTGAAAAACCCAAATGATTTATAGCACTAAAAAAAATCGATACCCCCCCCCCTCGAGCCGCAATATTCTCCCAAAATGCCTAACGTTAGCACCCATACCATAATTTTTGAGAAAACACCATCAAATTTCGCAATATGGAACACCCCTCAGGAAGGAAAGATCGGCCTGTCAGCTTGAAAATCTAGTATGTCCTGAAGACTGGCCCTTCTGCAAAGACGTAGTACCTGGGGTTCTGGGGGTTAATGAATACCTTGATTACCGTCCTTCAAAAGTTACCATGATGGTGGGAAGCGAAATAGAGAGGGAATTGTGGTACTGAGGGTACGGCTGTGTGCCAGGGGGTATTCCAGGTGCCTCAAAAATGCCTAGCGTTAGCACTTATTCTAGAAAACACCATAAAACGATGATCCTCTCAGGAGAGAAAGATCTGTCTGTCCCTCAGTCACACGAAGACTTAACTACCTTTTTCCAAAAATTGCCATGGAGTTTGTAAGGGAAAACGAGATATAAAGATGTTGCTTTATGGCTGGGGGTAATTATACTTGTTTACCTATTGTGCAAGTGACCAATAGGCGCAAGCAACGAGGATTCGAAAGTGCTAAGGCTTCCGTGCAAAGTTTAGTATTCGAGGAAGAAATGTAAATCTTTCGCGGGTCTGAATTGGAGTAGAGCCATATTCATAAAATTGTGTGAATGGGCGGAATTAAAATACGTAACGTAGTTTTAGTGTAAACGAAATTCCAGTATAGACCTTTCATGGTTATTAATACAATTAATATTAGCTTTTCCATTACAAGTAAAGAACGGACGTATAAGGTTAAACCAAAAAGGTCAATTTATCCGAAAGTTCGGTGGCTCATTTCTAAGAGTTTTACTGTAAAAAAAACTCTATCGTAGTTCAATAATCCTTCCGTCGTACTTAAAGTGGCGCTTTTTACGAAAAAACTAAAATAATATGCAAAAAATTAACCTGTGCAAGGTAGTTTGGAATTTGACTTTTTTGGTGCACAAATAACAACTCCATTTACGTCTTCGAGAATTTGACGCAAGTGTTGAGAGCGGTTGAGGCAAATACAAGCTTGATTATCCCGAAACCGTATCACCCTCAAAGTGATCCAGTTTCCAACTTTTCTAGTTTGGGAAAATGGGGATAAAAAGGTCAACCTTCCCCAAGGGGTATTTAAATTTTATTAGAAAGCTAGCCATGGGTAAAATTAATTGTGATAGACAATTGTTTACCAGTGCCGTAGAGGATCAATTTTATTTAGTACGAACGGGGGTCTTTATAACCCCTACCGTTACGAGTCGCTTAACAGTGTTTTGGAAGCCGAATTTTGAGAACTTTTAAGAGGTTAGATTGTACGTTAAGGGCCACCTAAGACTCTAGGAGTATCCGAGAGCCCCCAAATCTTTCTAAATGCCTTGATATTTGAAACATGTTAGGAACCTTTAAGAGATTTTAGCGTCTTCAGCTTCAAAAGGTATCCAAAAAATTTTTTATACATAAGCAAAGGCCCTAAAATCCTAGATACGCCCATTCTGGTTTAGTGTTACATCAAGACAGATTTTACCTCCGTTCGGAAAAACAACTACGATATCCAGATAGTGCACGGAAGTCGATAGTTCCACATTGTGTAATCGACTATTTTTTGATTAGGGCTTAATTAGTGCAAAACCAATTTGTGCATTTATTTATTATTTATGTACTGTTCTCCAAACGAGTATACATGTATCGATTAAAACATAATCTGCCCTTGGGTTAAACCGACAACTGCAGTGGCCAATATCAACCTCCATAGACGCCATTGAGGTAAGTGGTACGGAACGGAAAACGATTACAAACTGTGAACGAGACAAAAATAAAGAAAATATCGAATGGGGACGCAACAATCCGTATAAAACCACCGCTAGTCCTAGCTGGATCCAGACGAAATGAAACCGGCCTGGTCAATCCCACTCTACGCAACAACCCTCATCGGAGTTGTCTGCTGCAGCTGCATAATTTACGGTAAAACCTCTTTTTATCTAGGTATGCTTCGCACGTAATCGAATATTTCAGATGCTGGAGTGGCACCTAAGGACCAACAGTTTATTGTAAACTCCCACAACACCCTCAGGACCTTAGTCGCTCAGGGTAAGCTGACCGGTCAGCCCAAGGCGGTCAACATGAAGCGACTGGTAAGGCGAGCGATCTGGCATTACGCTCTCTGAGCACTGGTCACATTTCAGAAGTGGGATGACAAACTGGCCGCAGCCGGGCAGAAAATTGCCGCCACGTGCAATTACAAGCATCAAAGAGTTAGGGACCGTAAGTACATCCTAGCCTTCTGACAGTGCCTAATACTCGTCTCTAGCACGATGGAGAACCGTCGGTCAAAATATTGGCAAGACAACCTCGTCGGCCCTGCTACCCCTGCCCAACTGGGACAAGTTCATACAGAGTTGGTTCAACGAGTATAAGATGTACAACTTTACGAATATACCGGTGAAGGGAACGGGACACTACACTCAGGTAGCAGTAGATGATCTTGTCGAATTGTACGACGACCCCTTGTAGATAGTGTGGGCGACCACCGAGTACATCGGCTGCGGCTACACCAACTACAGACATAACGCGACTTCGAATTATATCCAGTTTTACGTCTGCAACTACGGACCGGGGTAAGTTTTGGTAGTTTTGCTTTTAGCTAGGTTACGGTGAGTTTTTCAGGGGGAACGTTCCGGGTATGGCGCCCTACAAGGTCGGCATCTCGAGCCAGTGCGACAACCTTTGTTGAAATTTTGATAAACTTTTTTAATAAACGCTCTAAAGCAGAACTTCTATATCATTTTGCTTTCCCAATCGCCGGTGGGGACCAAGTGCCTGCATGCCTACTGGGACAAAGAAATTTAGCCAACAGACATTGAAATGCGGACGGTCCTGACACGACAATGATAGGGCTGCGCAGCCCTGTCTACAATTAAATTCGCAATGACCCCCAGAAATACACTCCACTTTTGCGGATTCCTGCATTATTCCAATGTAAGCGATGATTTCAGTGCCTCGTCATTCTATTATCCGTAACAGAAACCCTACTGGAATAACTGGATTTCCTAAATCTATTTAAAGAACAAAACTGTATAGATTGTAAATACGCAGAAGAAATATAAAATATGACTGCTCTGTTTTGAATAGAAACTACGGTTTCTACCCCAAGGGGGCACCAACCTAGGCAGAGTAAAGGTCTGATGAGATAAAGTTAAATTTCTATTCTGCCTAGGTTTGTGCCGAGTCTTAATGTAACACTAAACCAAAATGCTTAAGTAAAAAACGGCATTATCTAGGGTTTATGTATAAAAAATGTTTCTTGGAGACTCTGAAGTTGAGGACTCTCTTAAAGAATCTCAACATGTTTTAAATCTCAAAGAATTTAGGAAGGCGCTCGGATACTCCTAAAGACTTCGGTGACCCTAAACGTACTCTAAAGTGTCTTAAAGAGGGTCTTAAGGAATCAAATCTCATATTCGCGAAGACGTAAATCGAGTCGTTAATTGTGCATAAGAATAAAAAGCAAATTTCCAGACTACCCTGCACACGCTATTTTTTTGCTTATTGTTTTAGTGTTGTCGTAAGCAAAGTGCCACTCTAAATAACGGCAAAGTTATTGTTAATTGTGGTAATAACCACGAATGGTATTTTAACATCCTCAGGGTAACTTTTGAAAAAATGTAGTCAAGCCTTCGTATTGGGGAGGGGAGCCATACAGATCTTCCTCTCTGAGGGATATTCCATACCCCACAGGACCATGTATAGCCAAGATTGATGGTGTTTTCTCGAAAATTGTAGCATAACATGTACATTTTTTGGAGAAGAATATAGAACGGGGATTCTGGGGGGGGGGGGGGTATAGAAAGCCCCCCGTCATACGAAAACCTGACTAAATTTTTCGAACAGTTACCACGTGGGTGGTCAGAGAGAGAAATAGAGAAATGATCGAATCCTTCTTTGTCGAGATTTCGACTGGGAGGTATTCCGTACTCAAAGACTCCCAGCACCACATTCGTCTCCAAAAATGTTAGGAGTTAGCACTTATTCCACAATTTGTGATTCACCCCTCAAAGAAAGAAAGATCTGTCCGCCCGTATTCCACACCCCACAGTTCCATGTTGCGAAGATTGATAGTGTTTTCTCGAAAATTATGGTGTAAGTGGTAACGCTAGGCATTTTTGAAGAAGAATATGGCACCGGAGAATCTAGGCCAGCCAGACAGTAGTAGCCTCAACAAAAAGGACTCTATAATTCTTTTCAATTTCCCTTAGCACTCCCATGGTGCATATTAGTATCGAGCTCTCACGCGGCTCGACACTTAATGCCTTCAAAAATTCTCTCCAGATTAATCCCTACCTATTTGTTTATAATTAAATGAATAATTTGGGTCAAATTTGATTTGCTAGGCCACCCGAATTTCACGCGTGTTAGGCCATTTGTCATCATCCCACGCGTTTGGCTTTTCTGCAAGCTCGCATCTTTACTAGGAGGAAATGATCTCGTACTGATTTTGCGATTTTAAGTACGTAAAACCAATAAAGCCTCTAAATTGAACCCCCTGTATACTCACTACTACCAACCCTAGTACGTTGTGCACCCCTGGCGAACTTTCAACTCATTTTTTTGTTAAAAAACAAGGTGCATGCGAAAATTTAACAAAAGTTTATTCCAATGAAGGTATGTAAATGGTTTCATGATGAATGTAAAGGAAGGATCGTATAAGTTTCATTGCTGGGGGTATTCCATACCCCCCGAACCCCCGGTTGTAGGTTTTTGAAATTTGAAGTTTCAAATATTCAATCGGAATGAAGATTTGATAGTATTCTTTTCAAGTCTCAAAAGATCTCTGAGGGGTTAACGTTTTGGGTAAAAACACACAACCGGGGGGTTCCCCAGTGGGGGTATGGAATACCCCCCAGTAAACGAAATTTGATTCCAATGAAGGTATGTAAATGGTTTCATGATTAATGTAAAGGAAGGATCGTATAAGTTTCATTGCTGGGGGGTATTCCATACCTCCGGAACCCCCCGGTTGTATGTTTTTGAAATTTGAAGTTTCAAATATTCATTCGGAATAAAGATTGGATAGTATTCTTTTCAAGCCTCAAAAGATCTCTGAGGGGTTAACGTTTTGGGTAAAAACATACAACCGGGGGGTCTGGGGGGTATGGAATACCCCCCCAGTAAACGAAATTTGATTCCAATGAAGGTATGTAAATGGTTTCATGATTAATGTAAAGGAAGGATCGTATAAGTTTCATTGCTGAGGGGTATTCCATACCTCCGGAACCCCCCGGTTGTATGTTTTTGAAATTTGAAGTTTCAAATATTCATTCGGAATGAAGATTTGATAGTATTCTTCTCAAGTGTCAAAAGATCTCTGAGGGGTTAACGTTTTGGGTATTTGGGTAAAAACATACAACCGGGGGGTCTGGGGGGTTATGGAATACTCCCCAGTAAACGAAATTTGATTCGAATGAAGGTATGTAAATGGTTTCATGATGAATGTAAAGGAAGGATCGTATAAGTTTCATTGCTGAGGGGTATTCCATACCTCCGGAACCCCCCGGTTGTATGTTTTTGAAATTTGAAGTTTCAAATATTCATTCGGAATGAAGATTTGATAGTATTCTTCTCAAGTGTCAAAAGATCTCTGAGGGGTTAACGTTTTGGGTATTTGGGTAAAAACATACAACCGGGGGGTCTGGGGGGTTATGGAATACTCCCCAGTAAACGAAATTTGATTCGAATGAAGGTATGTAAATGGTTTCATGATGAATGTAAAGGAAGGATCGTATAAGTTTCATTGCTGGGGGATATTCCATACCCCCCGAACCCCCCCGGTTGTATGTTTTTGAAATTTGAAGTTTCAAATATTCATTCGGAATGAAGATTTGATAGTATTCTTCTCAAGTCTCAAAAGATCTCTGAGGGGTTAACGTTTTGGGTATTTGGGTAAAAACATACAACCGGGGGGTCTGGGGGGGTATGAAATACTCCCCAGTAAACGAAATTTGATTCGAATGAAGGTATGTAAATGGTTTCATGATGAATGTAAAGGAAGGATCGTATAAGTTTCATTGCTGGGGGATATTCCATACCCCCCGAACCCCCCCGGTTGTATGTTTTTGAAATTTGAAGTTTCAAATATTCATTCGGAATGAAGATTTGATAGTATTCTTTTCAAGTCTCAAAATCTCTGAGGGGTTAACGTTTTAGGTAAAAACCTAATTGAGTGTTCGTATGCTTGGGGAGGGGGGAAGGGGGGTTATTCCAAATTCCCCAGACACGCCGGTACCACGAGTATCCACAAGGGCGACCAGTCCTTCACACTCTCATACTAGATTTGAAAACGGACAGACAGACAGATCTTTCTTTCTTGAAAGGTCCATACCCCACAGGACCATGATGAGAGGTTTGATAGTGTTTTCTCGAATATTATGGCATGAGTGCTAACTCTAGACATTTTTGGAGAAGAACATAACAGCGAGTGTTTTGAAGAGTATTATGAAATCCCCCCCCCCCCCCCCCGGCCACACGGTAGTAGCCCCACAAAGGATTGCAGAATTCCTTCTCTACTTCCCTTTCCACTTTCATGGCAAAGTTTTGGAGTAAGATAATCAAGTCTTCGTATGCTGGGTGGTATTCGATACCCACAGACTCCCGTTACTAAGTTTTTCCACAAGGACGCCCAGCCACCAATACCCTCATACAACATTTGAAAATTGACAGACAGGTCATTCTTTCCTGAGGGATATTCCATACCACACAGAACCATGTTGGTAAGTTGGATGGAGTTTTCTCGAAAATTATGGAATAAGTGCTAACGCTAGAAATTTTTTGAAACCAGTGCCGAGAGAGCATAGTATAAGATCTCCAAAAGCAGAATGGAAAGTGTCAGGATGTCAATGCTTCCGAAGGATTTCAAAGAGATTTTTTTCTAAATGGTTGTGGTGTAATCTGTATCTTCAGTGTTATTATGGACCTTGATTGGAAGCTTACCAAACTTTGCTTTTAACACCGAAATATGACAGTAATCTACAGTCGATAACGTGGGGTCAAATGGATGCAGATATAATACAAAGTTTAAAAGATACCAGGCAGTTAAATCTAATTAACTGCTCACGTTCAATTTGGCCAGTGCATTGCTTTGAAAATGGCAAAAATTGCACTTTGGGCTTTTTTGCTAGTTGCTCTTGAAGTAAGTTTCGACTGGCGCTATTTACTAATAAACATGTTAATTGCAGGCAAGCTGTGCTGTTACACCAACAGGTTACCACGGCAACCTCGAGCACCGGCTAAAGAGGGTTCGAGATGGAGCACTTAAGGCCGTCGAGACTTTGAGTTTGGACAACGTGGAGAAAAGGCGTGCCATTGTCTCGCACGCCAGCGAATTTGCGTACGGACTCGAGAAGACCATCAATAAGCTCTTCCAGAACGTACGTCTACGCTGCCGAATTAACTACTAACCTCCACCCCCTTCCCCAATTTCAGTTTGTTCGCGTCAGCGAGAGAGACAGCGACAGAAACCTCCCCCAACTCGCGCTAAGGTTAAACAACATCGTCCACCAAGTCCAAGATGCCCTCATAACGAGACCCACGCAGCTCAAGGAGGTTCTCCGGGACAACATCCACCAGGTTTACGTCATTGGCGAAAGATTCAGGCAAATTTTGCAACACCTCGACGGTGAGGGCGCGCCTTTTTGGCGAGACCTGACGATTTTGTGTCGTAGAGAATGGCGACTTCGGCGAAATGAAGGAGGATATCAAGGAAATCGTCGAGACGCTGATCGACGCCCTTTACAAGCTCCAAATCCAACATCGGCGAACGCGCGAGGAAGTTCGGCTAGGAAAGCGGATCTCCGACGCCTTAGACAAGATTACCTGGCGCGATCGGGCGACGCTCGATCAGCTCGTGACCGCGGGCGCCGTGTTCGGAGATTTCTTAAACCGATTCATCGAGCATTTACGGAAGGAGGTTCGCGAGGTTAACCGAGCGCATCAGTTTAACGCATTCGACTTTTTAGTTCCCCCACTTCGCCGGTTACGATCGTAAGGCGTTCGAGGAGGTTTGCACCGAGCTGGATGGGATTCGAGCTCGCTTGAGTGGCGTGTTGGACAAGCTTCCCATGGGCGAGATAAAGAAGAAGGTTGAAGACATGATCGGGCACGTGCGTGTAACGGTCACCGATTTTGATGGCCAGCTTCAGAAGTTAGAGGCGATGGGGCAGGTTTCCGAGGACGATCCGCTGAATGCCGCCCTTATTAACGGCGTCAAAAATGTTCGCGCCGACTGCGTTCACGCAGAGGAACGTATGCTTTCTAGGTTAGAGGAAATTGTAGAAAGACCAATGAAATAAATCAATTAAAGAATTCAATAGTTTATCAAAGCTTGTGTGTGTTAGTGGTGGGAATGGCAATGTCTATTATGTGGTTTTGAAGTATTATCTGTGGAGTGTATTTGTAGTATGGTGTCTTATCTGTTATGAGATTGTGTTTAAGAGCTAATGTTTGATGTATGATTTTAGCTACCTGATCGTGTCCATATTTGTGTATCTTTAACTTTCACCAAACAAATAATAAAACTAACCCGGACGTCCAAACAGAATTAAGCTCACAAGGCGCATTTTCAATGAAACTTCTACGTACATGAGAAAACTACGTACGCAAATAAAAGTTACCACTAAGTACGCAATGCTTTATAAAGCCTTGCAAATTCAAATTTCTAAAAGCAAACACTACAATATTAGAAAAGTATCTAAAAAGTCATAAGAGTCTCGTGAGGGTTTCTTCATTGTTTCAAAAGGATCAATAACGGCTTCAACAGTTCGAAGAAAGACCTTCAAAGAAAGTGAAAGTGAAAGTTTGAAAGTGCTTCGTAGTAGATCTAAGGAAGTTTTTTGAAAGCATCAGGACTCAAGAAAGTGAAATTTAAGGGGATGAAGTGAGCTTCAAATGATTTTGAGCGCTTTGTGAAGATTTCAAAAAAACCTCATATGATTTTTAAATAGTTTCAAAAGAATTTCAGTAAAAAATAGGATCAGCTTTAGTCAAACTCCTTATAAGATTTGGGAGGAGAGGAGAGAGTATTCCTAAAGGTAGTAAGAGAACCTCGGAAACACGGTGGTTTCACGAAGGTTTCGTGTTTGACTCCAAGGTATCAGAGATCTTCAAAATTCAGGGTCCAAGAATGCTTTGTGAACGTTTCGGGACAGATTCGAATTGAGTTTCAGAAAAGTTAAAAGAGTGCCAGACAAGCTTGATGAGACCTTTGGAGAAATTTACAAAGGAAAAGAGTGTCTCAAAGATGCTTTAAAAGAGCTTCCATAGCGCTCTTCAAAGAGGCGATGTTAGAGGAGTAAGCTCCATGAGGTGTCTTTTTAAGAGAGCTTAGCTTGAGTTAGGTATTAGTGTAACTGGGGTAGAATTAAGGGAGTTACGGAACCTCACGAGGGCCTTTAGCTTTAGAATGTTTCGAATGTTCTTGAGGAGGTTTCGGAAAACTCTCAGCAAACCTTTGTAAGTGTTTCAAAAATGTTTCGAGAGGGATTTGAGGGTCCTGGCGCTTTACACAAGGTAATTTTAATAGGGTTTTAGATCAGTGAGCGGTTAAGGGGTGGTTATGGGTTCATATGACAAGGTATAACTTTGAAAACCTTCAAGAAACTTTCAGAGCCCTCCAATGTGCTCCCTGATGAGAGGTGTATAGCCAGACCGCCCGGTACTACCTAATCCCTCAAAATATCTAGTACCCTTACCACTTACAAAATATTTTTTGGAAAGTCTCTCAAGTGCTGAACTTTTTGAAGCAGAACGCAACAGTAGGGGGGAGGGGGTCTCAAGGTATAAAAAACCTAGTAAAAAAATATTTCCCAAAATGCAGAACGTGCCCTCCATCAGCCGGAGAGGACCCTCTACTAAAGAGTACTCCCTATCCCCCAGACCTCCCGGTACTAACTTCTTCACCAAACTGTCTAGTTCCTTTACAACTTACACCATAAAAAATACACCCCACTAAAGAAACGCATCAACGTGGGTGGGGGTGGGGGGGGGAGAGAAATACGACTCAATGATGATTCAATTACATCTCCCGAACGCTCACATAAAAGATCGTGCCTTCGCTTTCCCGAAAAGTACCCTCTATTCTTCAAACTGTCTAGTACTCGCAGAACGCAGCACCGGGGTCTGGAGGGGTATGAAATACCCCCAGTAATGCAATAGTCCCCAATGTGTAGAACGATTCAATTACATCTCCCTATTGCTCTCATAAAATATCCTGCTCTCCCTTTGCCGAATAGTACTCTCTACTGGGGGATATTCCATACCCCAGATCCCCCGGTACTACCATCTTCGCCAAAACGTCCAGTACCCTTAGCACGTGCACCATCATTTTTGGAAAAGTTCCGAAGGATTGAACCTTTTGAAGCAGAACGCATCACCGGGGGTCTGGGACCCCAGTAAAGAAATTCCCCACAATGTGCCATAATTTTTGGAAAGACGGGGGGGGGGGAGGTCTGAGGAGTATGGAACCCCCAGTAGAGAAAAGAAATACGCCCCAATGTGTAGGGCGATTCAATTCACTTTTCCCTAAAACCCTCTACTGGGGGGTATTCTATACCCCTCTATCACCTGGGGATCTGGGTGTATGGAATTCCCCTCGGTAAGAAACACTCCCCGATTAATTACATCTCTGTCTAGTACCCTTACCAATAACCCCATACTTTTTGGAAAGAAACCTAAGGGCTGAAACTTTTGAAACAGAACGCATCACCGGGGGGGGGGGGTCTGAGGGCATGGAATACCCCCCAGTAGAAAAATGCGCCCAATGTGTAGGCCGATTCGATTGTATCTCCCTTATGCTCTTACAAAAGATCGTGCTCTTCCTTTGCCGGAGAATACTCTATACTCGTACTGTAGGGTATTCCATACTCCCCAAACCACCAGGTACTACTTTCTTTCCCAAAATGTCTACCACCCTCACAACTTACAGCATAATTTTTGGAATGACTCTTAAAGGCTCAATCTTTTGAAACAGAACGCATCACCGGGGGTTCTGGGGTTTATCGAATATCCCCGTTGAAGAAATGCACCCCCTCACTCCTCAATTTGTAAGAAGATTCAATTACATCTCCCTAATACTCTCATAAAAGATCGTGCCCTCCCTTTCCCGGAGAGTGCTTTCTAGTGGACGATATTCCATACCCCCAGACCCCCCGGTACTACCAGCTGCACCAAAAGGTCCAGCACCCTTACCACTTGCACCATCGTTTTATAAGAGTAAAGAAATGACCCACAATGTGCCATAATTTTTAGAAAGACGAGTAAGGGCTGGATCTTTTAAAGCAGAACGCAATCACCGGGGGGCTCAGGGGTATGGAACCCCCCAGGCAAGAAATACTCCCCAATGTGTAAGACAATTCAATTACATTTCCCTAAAACGCTCTACTGAGAGGTATTCTATACCCCTCCTCCCCATCACCGGGAGGTCTAGGTGCGTAGAATGCCTTTATGTAAAGAAACACTCCCCAATTTGTAGGACAATTCAATTACACCTCCCTAAAACTCTTATAAAAGATAGTGGCCTCCCTTTGCCGAAGAGTACTCTCTACTGGGGAGTATTCCATACCCCCTAGACTCCCCGGTACTAGATTCTTCCTCAAACTGTCTAGTATACCCTTACCACTTACTCCATCATTTTTGGAAAGACTCCTAAGGGCTGAATCTTTTAAAGCAGAACGCATCACGGAGGGGTCTGGGGGTATGAAATACCTCCCAGGGGGAAATACTCCCCAATGTGTAGGCCGACTCGATTATATCTCTCTAATGCTTTCATAAAAGATCGGGCTTTTCCTTTGCCGGCGAATACTCTGTACTGCAGGTTATTCCGTATCACCCACACCCCCCAGGTACTACTTTCATCCCCAAAATGTCCAGTACCTTTACAACTTACACCATAATTTTTGGACTTAAGGACTGAATCTTTTGAAACAGCACGCATCACCGGGGATTCTAGGGTGTATAGAATATCCCTCGGTGAAGAAATGCACCCCCAGTAAAGAAATACTCCCCAATGTGTAAGACGATTAATTTATATCTACGTAATACTCTCATAAAAGATCGTGGCCTCCCTTTCGCGGAGAGAGCTTTCTACTGGAGGATATTCCATACCTCCAGACCCCCCGGTACTACCATCTTCACCAAAAGGTCCAGTACCCTTAGCAGTTGCACCGTCGTTTATGGAAAAACTCTGAAGGACTGGACCTTTTGAAGCAGAACGCATCACCGCGGGGGGGGGGGGGTCTGAGAGGTATGGAACCCCCCAGTCAAGAAACACTCCCCAATGTGTGGGACAATTCAATTACATCTCTCTAAAACTCTTATAAAAGATTGTGACTCCCTTTACCGGAGAGTACTCTCTACTGGGGAGTATTCCATACCCTCTAGACTCCCCGGTAGGTACTACTTTCTTTCCCAAAATGTCACCACTTACACCATAATTTTTGGAAAGGCTTAAGGCCTGAATGTGTTGGAGTAGAACGCATCACCGTGGATGTTCCATACCACCTAGTGAAAAAATGCCCCCCCTCTCAATTTGTATGACGCTTCAATTACATCTCGCGAATGAAGTGATCGTGCGCCCTCCCTTTTCCGGCAAGTACCTACTCTGTACTGGAGAGTAGGAATCCCTCTCCTATCCTCTCCCCCAAACCCCCAGGTTCTTCCCCAAGAAGTATTGCACTTTCACTATATTTTTTGAAACAAGAACTACGAGCTTAGCAATGGTTTTTTGTAAAGTATGGAGTCATCCTCCACGGAGGACGATTCGACTGTCTTCTTCTAAAAAACTATGATTAGTCTTGAAAGCTGAACGCTATTGTTTGAGGGCGGAAAACCGGAGCTCTACGGGGTATTCTTTGCTTCGAGGACAAAGGTCCTGATAGTCTTGGGATCAGATTAAGATCGTAAACCTGTCAAAAATAAGCTGTAGAGATGAGCCTGTATGATATCTCTTTTCTCAAAATGAACACTATCGAAATCTGTTGCCAAGGAAGACTTGTTTTTAATTACTTTTGACAACTACTCTGTTTGTCATTCGAGATTTGGAACTATCAACGATTCCAGCGAGGTTATCAGTGGAAGTTATGTAACCAAAGTTAAAATCATTATCTAAGAGACCAAAGGTTAAATCGAACCGTCAATGAAACCAATTAACGGTCAAGTTATACCGAATCAGTCATCCAAACATGAAGGTGCAGCTCTTTGCCGTTTTCCTCATCTTTTTGATCCATGGGTCCGCATCGACGGTAAATTCGTAAAAGTGCCCCACCCGTAATTAGTCGACACACTTACAGGATAAGAAGGCCCTGATCGAGACCTACCTAACGGAGCTGAGCAACGAGAGTCCTTTAAATTTTAAGGTGTTTTTCTCCAGCTACAGCTACCATGAGGACGGTTCCCCAAAATACGTCGATACCTTGGCGTTCGGATCGGACCACGTAAGTAGCACCGAAGGAACAGGAGAAAATTTAATCGTCTCGATCTAGCATCCCGCGGCGACATTTAAGCTCAACAGCTTGGGGCCCAAGAGGGTCGAGCAGCTGACGAGACATACCGAGAGCAAGGGCATCACCCTCTCGCTCTTGCACGAGAATTTCGCCAAAAACAAAAGTAAGGATTACGACACTCAAGCCTTGGTACGTATCCCCCTCCCCCACCTTTTCCAGTATAGCAATTGCCGGAATTCTAGACCGACCCATCGTCTCCGGCCGGCGAGGTGATGCTCAACAAGGAAGGGATATCGGACGGCATTCTTGAGGCACTCCTAGACACACTGGACGAGACCACAAACGAGGCCAAGATTGAAGGAATCGATCACTTCCCCGATGGCAAAATGAAACAGCAGACCGTGTTGACTCTCAAAGCCAAAGAGGTAAGTCCCTCAATTTCGGATCAGGTGAGAACGTCTCGTTGTAGGTGACCGTGAAAGGAAGCAAGGATTTCTCGAGCAAAATGTTGGAGGACGGCAAGAAGCTGATCAAAAGGGCGTTCAAGATTGAAACCAACGACAGACCGAAAGTAATTGCCGGTCTCTTCTATGAGAAATTCCCCCAATACACCTGGGAAGTTTACGTCGATCCGATCACCTACACGACCAAGTCTGAGGTGATGGCCAAGTTTAACTACGACTCAGTTAACTATGTAGTGTTGGGTGCCTAGGAGAATTTGTAATTTTTTCTTCCTGAAATTAAGAGTCAAATAAATAACTTCGCTGACTATCGGCTGTTTTACTTCCTCTAGATCTGACTTTACCATCAGTTTACTTAAGAGCCTTACGAGTACTAAGGGAACACATTGAGAGAGTTGTGAGTGGAAGAAGCTTCAGCTCTCAAAGAATTTTGGAACAGCAAAGAAGTTTGAACTATTCAAGGGAAAAGTCGCAAGATATCAAGGATATTTAAAGAAAGCCTTTGGAGCATTTTGAGGAAATCCCCAAGAGAGACTAGGTGTTTAAGAGTATTTCAAGAAAGTTTAGACATATTCTGGGGTGAGCTCTTCCATACATACGCAGCAACCGGAGTGCTTAGAGGAAGTTTCAAAAAATTTCAAGAAAGGAGAATTTAAGAGAACTTTAACAGACAGAGAAACCTAAAAAAATCATCTGAAAACAGTACCGAAAGTAGAAAGTTATTACACTTCTATGTAAAAATGATACATATGAAACCATTAACGAGCGAGCCGAATTTGTTGGGGTAATTTCCGGTTAAAATTAGCGATCATTTTTTCTGCGTAATTAAGTTCTATAACACAGTAACCTGGTAACGAGTTCCGGAAATCATTGACTCAAATCTGTCCGTCTTTCGTCTTTCAGTGTAGGTACGTAACTTTATCCTTATTGGTTTTACGTGCTTAAAATAGCAAAATCAGGAGATCATTCGCTGCTAGTGAAGATGCAAGCTTACAGAAAAGCCAAACGCGTGAGTTGATGGCCGAACACGCGTGTAATTCGGGGGGTCCAGCGAATCCGATTTGACTTCAAAACAAATGATTCATTTAATTGCAAGGTACCATTTTGAAAAAGGCGTTAATTAAATATAAAAGGATAGGTAGGGATTAATCTGGAGAGATTTTTTGAAGGCGTTACGAGTCGAGTCGCGTGAGAGCTAGTTTGCTATCACTCAAGATGTTAAAAAAAGCGGGTTTGGGCCACTAACTCGATAAAAGCGTGGTCTACAGTAAATTTCTTTTTTGAAAAGATTCGGTCCTCGACTAGGAAAGTCTAACAAAAATAACTTTGAAAAGATATTGAGGTGTGAGGGGGTACAACAGAAAACATAGCAATAACGGTCGGTCTGGGGGGTATAGAATACCCCCAGGATACAATGATTTGAATGCGTTTCTCCAATTTTTACCATGAAAGTGTCAAGGGAAATAGAGAAGGAATTATCGCGTTTTTTTTTGTCGAGGGTACAGCTTGTAGAGTGGGGGAGGGGGTATTCCATACCCCCCAGAGACACGTTTAGTCCTCAGGAGTCTCATAGATTTGGATAAGACTAGCAAATCCTTTTTCTCTTACAAAATCTGACAGAGAACGTATCACCGGGAGATGTGGGGATATTTTCATGGAAATTTCTGGAAAATCACAAACTGTCCGGCAAAGGAGAACTCGGTAAAACTCATTTTCATATAACCAGTAGTTTTCTATGTGGGTTTTCTGGAAATGGAATGATCGCATGCTGGGGAGTATTCCATACTATGTCCTCTGCCAGAAGATGTTTAGCCTTCAGGACTCTCATAGTTGTTGACAAGATTTTCAGATCCTTTTTTCCTACAAAATATTGCAGAGAACTTATAGCACCCGGGGGCGCTAGGAAAAGGAGATTCGATGACAATTTCTAGAAAATCATAAATCGAAGAAGAATTCGATTACTCATCTCCCTATAGCCTGCGCCAGTGGAGGTTTTCTCGAAATGGCAATGGAATCATAGTGTACACCCAGTAAACGATGATTCCACTACTGACCTTTTCCCTAGGATTACTATGAGAGTGATAAGGGAAATGGAGAAAGAACGATTGAGTCCTTCTATTAGTTTAGTGTACTGCTGTAAGACGGGGCCGGAGGGAGGAGCATTTCAAACCCGCAGACCTTCCGGGCATACGCTCTCGGTCAAAAACGTTTTTGTGAAGGCCCCTCTTCTACTAAGGAGTAGGTACAGCAGAAAACGTAGGGGGAGGGGGGGGGGGGCTCATTAAAGCATGTCCCAAGAACCCTGCTTTACAAAACTCAGTTCAGAACCGTACTAGCAAAAATTCGAGCCCACGCAGCACAGTTTCAAACCTAGTTACTTTTGTAGTGACTTTTTGTGTTAGAATCGGCTCTACATAACGCGGGATGACCCATACCTCAGAAATCGATTCGAGCCCACGCAGCACAGTTTCAAACCTAGTTACTTTTGTAGTGACTTTTTGTGTTAGAATCGGCTCTACATAACGCGGGATGACCCATACCTCGAAATCGATAATCAATCAATTTATTTATTTATTTATTGTTCCTCTCTTGATATTGGCCCTCAACAGGCTTTCGCCCAATTACAGAGTGACTTATAACTGATCAAACCTACTTCAGAACCGTACCAGCAAAAATTCAAACCCACGCAATACAGTTTCAAATCTAGTTACGTTTTGAGTTAAAAGCGACCCTATATAACGCGGTCCTAGCAGAGTTTTAAACCTAGTTACTTTTCTAGTAACTTTCAAATCTAGTGACTTTTTGATTTAGAATCCGCCCTATACGCGCTAGCAGAGTCGCAAACCTAGTTACGATTCTAGGGACTTTTTAGCATCTAGTGACTTTTGGAGTTAGAATCGACCGCGACCTAGCACAGTTTCAAACCTAGTGACATACCACTAGTATAATAAACCACCCCGCAAAGGAGAATTCGATAACTCGTTTTCCTATAACCCGGACCACTAGCTTCGTGGGGGTTTTCTGGAAATGACAATCGAATCCTCGTGTGCTGCCCACAGTAAACGATAGTTCCATTGCATAATCTTCCCCTGGGGTTACCATGAGAGTTCTAAAGGATATGGAGAAGTAATTATTGAGCCTTTCTTTTTTGTTTAGGGTACTGATGTGTGAAGTTGTAGGAAGGGGGGGGAGGTATTTCAAACCCCAGACTCACCGGTGCTTCGCTCTCGTTGATATATCGTTTAGTCCTTATAAATCAGTTTTTGGGAGGATTACCCCTCTTGTACTAAGGAGTACAGCAAAGAACGTAGCACCGGGGGTCTGGGGGAATACCCCCCAGTATACGAAGGGTTGATAACATTTTTCCAATTTTTACAATGAAAGTTACAAGGAAAATAAAGGAGGAATTATACCGTTTGAAGACTGGGGAGGAAAGGGGGAATATTCCATACCCCCCAGACCATCCGTGCTACGTTCTCCACCACAAACCGTTTCGCCCTCAGGGTGATTGGGGTCGTGTCCCGAAAAAGGACATTCGATGACAATTTCTGGAACATCACAAACCGTCCGGCAAAGAAGAAACTCATTTTCTTATAACCCTACAACACTTGTCGCATTTGGTGCAGCATGAGCGATTGCCAAATGAAAACCGACGTGGCAAACCCCAAAGATAACAAAAACCAAACGCTCAGGTGGTTGTTTATAATAACCAGGGAAAGTGAGGAAAACAACCGGCTTAGTACTCCTAGTCCATGTTGCACTTTGTTCCGTAGTTGTTGTGTAAGTGTAGTTAGTTGTCTATGTGAGTTTTCTGGAAGTGACTGAAAGGACTCTCATAGGTTTTGGCAAGATTTTCAGGTCATCATATCCTACAAAATAATGCAGAGAACGATGCACCCGAGTATCCCATGCACCCGGTACTTTGTCAAAACAAAATTGAAGATATAATATAGAATAAATTACCACTAATCATACCATCGTAAAATGTATACTAAGAGCTAACCGCGGACCGTTTAATTGTATTGCAGAAAAGATTCAAGTTCGCATTAAAACCGGCCACACATTATCAGTTTTGGCAAGTGCCACAACTGTCAAGTTAATTGCCATGCCTTAATTGGAAGTAACTTCCACCTAACGCATGAATAAAAAAACATCACTATATGCACCAAGTCATTTCTTCTTGTTAATGGACAATTGGACAATCGAAAATGTTACGGAAATGTGTTGCTACGGCCCTAAGACAAGTCACACGTTGAGACACACGCGGCTTAAATTCAAAAAGGGGTTAATCAACCCCCTTATATTTCAACATTTAACATATTTTTGAATTGTGCGTTTTAGTGGGGAAATTGAACTGCGATCTCCCCACTATAATGGTAGGGTTTGCGTTACATCCGCTTGGTTCAAATTTGCACTTGTCCGAAAAAGGAGGGGGGGGGGGCAGTTTAATTGATCGTGTTGTGAGCAAGGTCAAAAGGTACTTAGGGGATCGGACCCAGGACATGAAGGTGGATTAGGTTGGTGGACTTTTTGTTTACTTATTAAAAGTGTGTTGGGAGATATCGAATTGTTTTGGCTAAATAACTAGGAGATAAAAATTGACTTATATTTATAAAGTAATTAGATACACTATCTAGAAATGGGACAATTACTTAACTTCTATAACGCTACTTATTCCATGGCCTTAGCGATGTCGGCCCTGAAGCGCTCACCGGCGGTTTTCAACACGCTGAAGAAGGAACCGGCCAATTTGGCCAAATGCTCCTTGGCGTCTGAAAGAGAGGGACGTTAGTGCAAAGCAAACGGCAAAGGGCGCGTCTCTTACGAGCAATGTGGGGTTGAAGTTCAGCTTCCATCTTCCTGCCTTCGGCGAGGAGCGACTTGATGTTGGAGTCGATGACCTCCTTGACAAGTTGGCCCTTGGATCTGGCGCTCTCGACCACTCCCTTGGCGTAGGCGACTTTCTCGGAAATTTTGCCGGCCGTTTCCTTCACCAACTTTTCGACGAGGGGCTTGTTGGTCTCAATCTAAATTAAGCCGGAAGAGTAAATTGTGAACGAATTTGGCGGAAAGACCTACGTGTTCGCTTAAGCTCTTGCTTCCTTGCTCAACGGTTTCGGAGAGGGTTTTGGATGCGCTGACGAGGGCGTTGTTTACGTCATTCTTAGCGGGCATCGCGTTCTTGAAGGTTTCGGCGAAATCCTTGCCCATGGTGTTCATGTTTCCAACGAACTGGTCGAAGTGGATGTCTTGCGAGGCGGGCTTGGGCTTAGCCAAAGCCACCTATGGAAGGTTGGCGTTTAGGAAAATCACATTCGAATAGTCAAAGTGTACTCACCTGAAGGACGACGGTTGCGACGAGGAGGATTACGAACTTGGCCATTGTAATTTTTTCTTTGGGAAATGTCGGGGCCAAGTAAACATCTGGGTCTTTTATACTTTTGAGTTAACCTTTGGCGATATAATTATCAGCGACCGTGTTGCAAGGGCGATATCAAAATATCGACCTTCCAAAAATTGACTATCGCCAGTGCTCTCTTGTGCAATTAAATCCGGGTTCGATTTCATTATCATTCTGATACAATCTTTCTGTTACTAAGGTAGGTAATGGTTTTCCAAAACAATCCAGCTGAGAGGCACTCTTCCGCCATATTTCCAAACCAAGAGTTGATAGAAACAACAATTTTCACGGTCACAGGTTATCAATGTGCCCATTTGAAAGTACACTAATTAGCCAATCAGTGGTATAAAGTAATCTTGCAAAAGGTCATTGAATCCGTGACAAACACACAGAGAACCTTGTGCTTGATTATTTTTTCGGCAGGGAAAGACTTGAAAAATTACTGCGCTTCAAATGTTCGGTTGACAACCAAATGAAAAGCTTGTAAAAACCTCCAAAATCAGCTTGCTGAAGGGTTTACAAGGTGAAGATGCTTTATTCAGACCTTGAGACAGAGTTCATACTTCAAATGGTCACTTAAAGATAGCCTTCAGAGGTTATGACGCATACAACGAATCAGACTTAAGGCTACCGGTTGTAAGGTCCAGGAGATGTCTACGGAAAGTTCAAGAACTCTAAATTTCTTAAATACTCGAATGCAATATCGGAGAAGGCACTCCTAGAAAGCGTCAAAAAAACCCGGGGAAAACAAATTGTATCAATTTCCTTCACGCTGATTAAGGGGTAAGAGGAGCTTGACTATTTTCCCTAATCAAAGAGGCCCAAATCGCAGAGGGCGAGAGTTAAAAAAATTAAAAAGAGCCTTAGGCTAAGTTTACTATAGTGTGAACCCCTTAATCGTAATTTTAAAGAGCCTGGAATCCGAATTTTAGGTTAGGCATGAAAAGGGTGACAGTTGTAGAGTGCAGAATGAAAGAAGGGCGTTAAAAAATTAAAAAAAGAGCCTTAGGCTAAGGTTACTATAGTGTGAATCCTTTAATCGCAATTTTAAAGAGCCTGGAATCGGAATTTTAGGTTAGGGAAGAAAAGGATGACAATTGTAAAGTGCAAAAAGGACGAATAGGACACAGAGGTGGAGTTCATCCACCAAAGAAACTTAAATCGCAGAGGGCGAGCGTAAAAAATTAAAAAAGAGCCTTAGGATATTGGTACTGTAGTGTGAATCCCTTAATCGTAATTTTAAAGAGCCTGGAATCGGAATTTTAGGTTAGGGATGAAAAGGGTGACAGTTGTAAAGTGCAAAAAGGACGAATAGGACACAGAGATGGAGTTCATCCATCAAAGAAACTTAAATCGCAGAGGGCGAGCGTAAAAAATTAAAAAAGTGCCTTAGGATATTGGTACTGTAGTGTGAATCCCTTAATCGTAATTTTAAAGAGCCTGGAATCGGAATTTTAGGTTAGGGATGAAAAGGGTGACAGTTGTAAAGTGCAAAAAGGACGAATAGGACACAGAGATGGAGTTCATCCATCAAAGAAACTTAAATCGCAGAGGGCGAGCGTAAAAAATTAAAAAAGTGCCTTAGGATATTGGTACTGTAGTGTGAATCCCTTAATCGCAATTTTAAAGGGCCTGGTATCGGAATTTTTGGTGAGGGATAAAAGGGTGACAGTTGTAAGGTGCAGAATTGAAGAATAGGATACAGAAGTGGAGTTCATCCATCAAAAAAGCTTAAATCGCAGAGGGCGAGCGTTAAAGAAATAAAAAAAGAGCCTTAGGCTACTGCTACTATAGTGTGAATCCCTTAATCGCAATTCTAAAAAGCCTGGAATCGGAATTTTAGGTTAGGGATGAAAAGGGTGACAGTTGTAAAGTGCAGAATGGGTGAATAGGATACAGAAGTGAAGTTCATCCATCAAAGAAGCTTAAATCGCAGAGGGCAAGCGTTAACAAATTAAAAAAGAGCCTTAGGCCAAAGTTACTATAGTGTGAACTCCTTAATCGTAATTTTGAAGAGCCTGGAATCGGAATTTTAGATTAAGGGTGAAGAGGGTGACAGTTGTTAAGTGCAGAATGACTGAATAGGATACAAAAGTGGAGAAGGCGAGCGTTAAAAAAGAGCCTGAGGCTAAGGATACTATGGTTGTGAATCCCTTAATCGCAATTTTAAGGGCTTGGTATCAGAATTCAAGATTAAGAATAAAAAGAATGATAGTTGCAAAGCGGAAAATGGAAGAACAATCTACAGAGGTGGAGTTTAGCCATCAAAGAAGCTTAATTCGCAGAGGGAGGACATAAAAAAATTTAAAAAGAACCTTAGGCTAAAGTTACTAAAGGTTGAAGCTCTTAACCGCATCTTAAAAGGCCTGGACTCAGAATGTACCTAAGGTAAGGATGGATGGAAAGGGTGATACAGGGGCGACACTTCGCCATCGACAAAGCTTAGATCACAGAGGACGAGTGTTAAAAAATGTAAAAAGGGCCTTAAGCTAAGGTTATTATAGCGTGAATCCCTTAATTGCAATTTTAAAGGGCCTGGAATCAGAATTTAAGGTAAGGAAAGAACGCGATTTTTAAAATTCAGTTACGATCATTGTTATTGGCTTGTACGATGAGTCTTGAGATGCCTGTTTTTTTTAATGGGGGCGTAATATATTTATTTCGATTTGTTTTCAGTGGTATTTTTCTACCATTTTATTTTGCATAAATGCCACATGTGATTCATTTCATGACTCCTGAATATATGGATCTTTATGTTATATGAAAACTGTTACGGAATGGATCACGATACGAATGTCCTAGCCGAAGGCGTGCGCCTAAACTGAAACCACGAGCACAAACCCTGAATATACCCCTAAGTTATTACAAGTAGATTTACGACAGTAGCTCATGATAATTCTCTCTAAATTAACCTGCACCCCTGTGCACCTTCTACCTACGAAAATCTATGAATTTAAAGATTATTTATCGTCGAAATGAGAATGAAATTTGCATTTTTTTTTGCGAAGTGTAAGGGTTGATTTGTGCAGATTAAGAATCAAACAGAAACGTAAATATGCATTTCCTGGCCACCCCTAAATGAACCTAAACCCCTTAACAGTGTGTGAAATGGCCTTTAGTGACCTTGTTCGATGGGATCCTCAAGATTGATCCCGGTATAGTCCATCACACGGGTGAGCCATCACAAGCCGTCACGAATTCTGTGAACAATCACGAAATTGTGTAGTAAGATCGAAGAAAACGTGTTCGTTCAGTAGCCAAATTATGCATTAAAGCTCATTCATCTCTTGTGAGAAACCGAGTTTCAATACAAGAAGCATCGTAAACACGTCTGTGGTAGTTTAATCACTTACCTTCCCTTAAAAACTGATCTTCGTGTAATACTGGGTGATGTATGAGGATCCTGGAGAACGTTCATCTTGAGAACGTAGGGATTGGCTCCAATACCCCTTCGTATAGCAAATCCGTTTAGTTCACAAAACCGGCATGACTATGAATTCATAGTCATTCCGAATTATATGAAGTGAACTGACTGCCGTAGCGAAAGAGACCATTTAAAAAAACATTGAAGTAAACTTTACGTAATCAAGATGATAGTCTGAGAAGATACTCACAACTCACCTAGTACTAAAATGCGAAGGTCAGTCGAAATTTGTAATTCTTTTTTTTCTGTAGTCACTGTACACATAGATGTTCACTTTCCCCCACTGCTAGATACATAAAAAATAATACACCATGCTTAGAAAAATAAAAATCCTACCTTTATAAGGCTGTCCTTCTGGAATCTGAAATAGATTAAGAATTACTTCACAATGCAAAAATAGACAGTTTTGCTAAAGGGTGACATCAAGACATGAGAGCCTCTGTTTTTGTGAGTTAATTAAAAAAACAAAAACTTACCCTTAGCCTTATTAAAACGGCGTCTGGAAACGACCACACAACCGCAAACAGGAATGGAGAGCTGGCCGTAACTGAAAGATAAAATGGAGTATATCAAAAAAAGGTCTAATGCCCTATTGGCGATTGCTAGATTTTTGCTAATTTCCAAATTGCTCTACATTAAAGACAGTGGCGTACTGACCTGATTTATCTGTTCCGCCGCATCCAAAGAAATCGAGAGTGCATCCCAGAGGCTGGCTCTTCACCATTGGAAGTCTTGGGCAAGTGTCCCTTTGGCACTGTGAACACACGGAGAGATCAGTAAGTTGGCCGAGTAGGCCGATCATATTTTAAAGAAACATTTGTGCTTTGTGTGCTTCCTTTATCAATCATTTCAGTCTGTATGGCATAAATCGTATCATCAAGGGCAATAAATTAATAAAGAAGCATACATATTCTACTTCAATCGCACTTACCTTCTAAGCTGATCTTCTGAAATAATAAGTGGAGTCCAATAATCGTCGAAGGCATTCAGTTTGGGAACGGAAGGATTAGCTGCAACTTATTCATAGTCTATTTCGCAAGAAAAATCCGTTTGGGTTAGCTATGAATTTATCATAATATCGATCTATATGAAATAAACTGACTAATACTGCGAAACAGACCATTGGAAGAACAATTGCAGTCAATTTTACGTAACCAAGATGATATACTGAGAAGATAGTTGCCACTTACTACTACAATTCGAAGATCAGCTAAAAAATAGGATCACTAATCTTCCTTTTAGTCACATTACACTATTCACTCCCCCCCAGCTGAAAATACAAAAGGAAATGCACCACACCCATGCAAAAAAAGCAAAATCCTACCTTTATAAGGCTGCTCTTCTGGAATCTGAAACAAAAGACAAGCAATCGTTAGAAAACTTGAAAACGAAAGACAACAGGACATCAAAGCATGTTTAATTAATTAATTAGCGTATTATGACATAACAAGGGAACACGAGCCGTGCCACTTCAAAAGGAAAAGGAACCGAACTTTTATTAGTATGACATTAATCCTATTAAGATAGGAAACAACGCAAATAAAGAGTCGAAACGTTACAGTGTCTCCCAAACCCCAAAAGTTGCGTTCCGTTTTGCGGAAAGCCGAAAACGTGATTGACGAAAATGAAAGGTTTCATCACAAGTTACAAGCTGATGACACTTTCCTGAATGAGATTGGGTAAAGGCATGGACAGATGGAAGGACAGACGGGCGGGAATATTTTTCTCTGGGTTATACCTATCAAAAAAGGAGTTTTTACATAAAATTTTAAGCTGATGGCACTCTCCTGAATGAGATTGGGTATTGGTATGGACAGATGGGAGGACAGACGCACGGAAATATTTTTCTCTGGGTTATACCTGTCAAA